CTAACAAGAGTTTGGCACTTTCCATAAATCTACTAAGCTAAAATAAAGATAAATAATATTTTCTACTTCAATTAAATATAGAGTCCCAGAAGTACGAGCATTCCTTTCAGTCGGAGGCAATAGTGACTAAAGATTTATTGGAGAACGTATGATTGGCTCTAAATTACCGAACCTTAAAGAGCATTTTAAAATGATAACTTAATAATGATCGAAGCTATTAATTAAACCAAATAAGAGTAGGCTTTATCTGGGTACCTTTAATTTTACAAAAGGTTTACGGTGCTTGCGAAAATTTTAAAAAGTCTTGAAAGACCATTAAAATAATATTTAAAAGGTTATATTTCTCTATTAAATATAAATAAGTTATTATTCTAGACATTATAGCTTCAACAAAAGAGTGTGTACATTTTGTTTATAAAGAGAGACATAGCATTAGAAAGGTAGAAATGAGTAGAGCTTAAAAGCATTTTTAGTAAAAAAAATTAAAGTTTTTTAAAAAATACCCCATCTTAATATAAATGAAGAATTAAAACTGTTAGAGCTCGTCACAACGTAAGGCATATTTTAGCTTTAGGTAGTATTAAAAGAAATTAATATAATAAATCACTTACTAGTATAATTTGGCTAAGTCAATATTCATGAAAACAAAGGCTTGGTAAGTAGATATACGGAAAGACCTCACTAACCCTCTTGGTATTATTTTATAATATAAATATAACTTTTACTGCATAATACTATTCTATACCCTTTGACTTAGCTTCTCCTTGTATATACGATCGAGAGCGTTGCTATTATAGTCGGTCCGCTAAGACTTAAAAACGGAAAAGCTAAAGCAGCATTATAGTAGGTACTGGTATTATTTTTCCCTCAAAGTGAAAGTCTTAGGCTTGCTATAGTAAATTGAATGAGAAGATTGCTATACACAAAGTGCTGATTAACGCATGATGTCTGGGTTAACTTTAGTAGTGAAGCTAATAAAAGAATATTGTTCAAATGGCTCTTGTGTTAGCTTAAAATAAAATAATAGAATTCCAAAAAAGTATAGTTAAAAAGGTTTTAAATTTTTAAGCAAAATTAAGGTAGTTTATAAGTTTAAGGACTGGCCCTACTTTTTAATTCGGAAACCTTTCAATTTCAGAGTCCCTTTACACAGTTTTCAGTCAATTGATTTTAAATTTTTATAATTAAATCGCATTATTATTAGAAAATAATTTTATGGTACAAAAGTATGTGTAAAAAAAAAATTTTTTTTTAACTTTAGACCTCTTGAACATACCGTTTTTCAAAGACGCACCAGTCGGTATCAATCGCAGAGCTCCATGAGCTTTCATCGCACCACCTGCCCGTCTTATTGGAGTCTGGCGAAGGCAAGGCTACATCGAAACTCTGGACACGGCCTTTCACGGACAAGACAAAATTTACAGCTCCATCTCCCCCTGCGACTTCTTCTCTGTTAGGAGACGCAGTCGATAGTTTTGAGGGCGCATTGACAGCTGCCTATGCTGCCGCGACAACCAGTCTCGAAGTCGCGTATCGCCATGCTCGTCTACCGAATTTTTTAATGAGCTTTATTCGCCAGTTAATTTGTCTGGCCGCTGCAACCCGAGGCCCCCACGAAAAATGAATGTGTGTATGTATGGTATTGGCACTATATTTACTGGAATGCTTAGAATGCCAGCGAGGAACCCGTGATTTGAAACCTTCTTCACCGACACAATAGAAAGGAGCTGGCTGCCTTTCACAAAAACCACAGGGAGGCGACCGAGGAAGGACGGCTAACTTTTCGGCGCTTCGTCAAACGTATTGAAAATCGTTGCCACTTAATAATGGTGTGATAGTGGCGGAAAGCGACGAAGACAAGTCATCTTTGCCAATCATTTAGCTGCTTAATACCTAACTCCAACTTGGCGACCTTTGAGGACGAAGACAAGAAATCGAAAGACCTCGCGATTCTTGTTAAAGGGCTTATTATACCGAGCTCACCCGATGAAATGACTGATATTGTTTCTGTCTTTTATGACGGAAAGCGCCGGGTCCTGACAGTGTTACTAACGTCATGCTAAAAAATGCTGTCCAGTGGCGGTCAACCATCTCTCCTGTTTAGCAACTTATGCAAAGTCGCTTGAATCCTTCCAAAGCGATAGCAGACGAACACGGTCATGATGCTACCTATAACTCATCGGGTTTCGTGGACCCCTGCTAATATCACCCCATTAGCCTTCTTTCGGCGGTGGGCAAAACCGTGGAGGCGGTTCTACTATACAGACTGGAAGAGTTTGTAGAAACACGCAAAGAAGCGATTCCACAATTCCAATTTGAATTTAGAAGAGACCACTTGACGACACAACAACTTTGCGCTTGTTGAGTGGACAACTCGAATTTTCAATTTTAAGCGTTTTCTTTCTCGACATTGAAAGGCCTTTGACCGTGTATGTCACGAGGGAGGGGTCTTCTACGTGAACTACGCACATTAGGTACTCCGTTAGCCCTCTGCAGCATACTTGCGTCGTTTCTATGCGGCGTACCTTTCTATTGAGAGTTGGATTGCGCTACCTCCATACCAGTGACTGACAGTTGTGTTCCGCAAGGCTCTCCGCTTTTGCCCCTACTCTTCACTCTCTGCATGCTTGATATCCCCTCCCTGCGGCCCTCACACCCGCGTTGCACTCTCTGCCGATGACAATACAGTTTATGTTCCTCAAAGAACCTCTCATTTCTATGGCAACACCTGCAGAGTTATTTGGAAACATTTGCCACCTAGCGTCGTTCGTGGGAGTAAATATTAAGGGAACGAAGGGCAAAGCAATTCTGAAGCCACACCTCTAACCCTCGAATATGTTAAGAACCCTTGGGACACTAAGTCAAATACTTGGGCGTCATCACCGACAAGCGACTAACTTAAAGGCGACACATAGAGTTTGTTACGACTAAAGTCTAAGCAGTACTCCACCCGCTGCTGAGTGCTAAAAGCACAATGTCACTGCGCAATAAAATGCACCTTAATCAAGTATGCCTGCGCCCTATTATGGCCTACGCACCTGTTGCTTGGACCTATAAACCGATGACGATTGCACTCCTCTAGACGCAGCAAAACAAGCTTATGCGACTAACGACTGGTACACTTATCTGGTACGAAACGATACGTTACATGGAGACTGGGTTTGGAACGACTTGAAGCCTTTTTCCGAAAAGCACTTCAATTTCTTTTGAACGAGTTAGTAGGCATTCAAACCACCCATGGATTCAAGAACTTACATACGAAACCCTGCAAAGGTTTACGATATCGAGGGCCCCGCGATGAAAAGCGCACAGTTACAGTTTTGTTATACCTTGAAAACATATGTAGAAAGTTTCTTATAAGATGTCCTGCCAAAAATGAATATACCATCTAAGCCTAATAGTATTAATTATTTGCGAGATCACTCCGCACAATTCATAAATAATAACAATAAAAAGTTGTAAGCTTTTGCTTTTTCAGTTGTGTGCATCTTGTTCTTTGTTCCTCTCAGTAGACGCCATCAGTCAATTTATAAAGTCTGCATACTATCAGTCGGTTAGGACAATCTATATTACTTTTAAGACTTAGTCTTTAAGCAAGCTCAAAAGTTCAATTTTAGCATTCTCAAGAGGTTAGAAACACCATGAACTTGCTTAACTCCGGAAATTGGACCAAAAATTCTAATCTTTTGGAAGTATACCTTTATATCCAAGTAAACTGCATTAAAAAAAATATATTTTTTATCTTATATATTTGTTGTAAACTAAAATTGTAACATAAAATAAACTGTTACACTTATTTAATTTTTTTTTATTATATATATAGTTCCGTTAAAAAAATTCCATCTACAGTCATACAATGCTAGAAGAGTTTTACCCTGTTAATTTAGGTTTATACACAATAAATGTCATGCCATCTTGTTGCTCGTAATGCAGAAGGTAGCGTTATCACCGCAGCTTCATATCAGTGCTCTGTAAGGCCTTATTAGAATTATTAGTTTATCTTAAAAAGAAACTAAACGAGGACACTGGATATTAAGCTCGTTAAAATAGAGCTAAGAGGTAACAGAAAAATAATCAAGAAAAAAAGAACTTTAAACGTAAAGGTGGCACTTTTTTATATAGAATATAGCAAAATTCGTTCCCTCACAGGGGAAGACGTTTACTTTATATACCTGCAAGAGAAGAAGAGAAAAAATTTAATTGCGTGCTCATTAAACTAAATAAAGTTAATATATATTGTAGGCGCTTGACAGCGTCACATAGACTGAAACCACCAAATTATTTTTCTTCGATCTAGTTCTATGTGTTTTGATACGTAGCTTAAAGCATTAATAACTCTCATAATTAGTTACTTCGATTACACATTTTTGCGCTTTTTATCTTTAAAGGACTTTTTAACCGGCTCTATTATAACAGGAACCTTTGAAACCTCACCACTTGATTACTGGCGGATTCCTTTTTCGGTATGTTAACACCCTATAAGTAAAGGTTACTATTTTACCACTTGTCGCCTAGGTTTAAGTTGCAAGAGTAAGCCCTATGGAAAGTGACCCCAACGACAGGCTCACACTCTGAAACAATCTCTGGTCTCTTTGAGTGCCATATTCTAAAGAATTAGGCAGCAACCAACAAAGCAAAAAAGTGGTAAATTTAGTTACCAGGGAATGTAAAACAAATCTATTTTAAGCCCCAGAGTTTTGCCCGTTAAAGGGTTAAAACAATATAAATCCAAGTACTTCTAAATTAAATAGTCGTATCTTTAAGGAGGTCGTAGGTACCATAAAATATATATAATTTGTAGTAATATAGTAATTATCAATAAAAAGATAACTAAAATATACTATTTTAGTTTAATGGTCATAAAGTCAAGCAGAACTTTGAATAAAAAAGATTGGTAGGTATGAGTTGATAAACTAAATTTAGGTTCCTTTATATGGTAGTTTGCTCGATATTTTTAGAAGGCTCAGTTACTAGCTTATTAAAAACCTGCACTACTGCAGACAAGGCTTAAATTAATACATAACTTTAACCAGAGGAACTTTGCATAAAGTAACCCTTCTGTTCTCCTTTTATTTCTCTTAAAATACTTTTATTATTTACTTTAGGCGAAAAGTTGATGTTTTTCAAGGAAATACTCTCAGTATTTATTAAGGCGCTCTAAATGGATCTTAAGGAGAAACTTTTGGTGATGACCGTTTATTTAATTATAAGATCCTCTTCGCTTCCATTTGTATAATAACTTATTACTATATATTATCTTGTGTTTACACCACTTTGTTTAAGCTTGATTTAAACTCACACGCTTTATTGTTCTAGGCAGAAGAGAAAAAGTTAAAAGAACTAACTCTTGCTCGCGAGGAAAGACGTCGGAAAAGACAGCAGGCTCGGGAACAGTTCCTTTATTTTTTTTGCTTAAGTTAGTGTTTTTACTTTTTTATTACTAAAGACATCTCACTTTTGGTAGCCAAGAAGATACGAATTCTCCTCTTAATGAAGAATTTAAGGGTTTTAGTTTTGTTTATTCGTTATATACTTTATTTTCTTTTCTAAATTATTTAAAATTTATCCAAAATTTTGGAAGATGAAACTAGTACAAGTGGAATTAACGTTGACTCGGTAAGCTTCTAAGCTTTTATATAACTCTACGTTTAATTAGTTAACCTTTTAAAATAAGAATGGGAGAAAGCAAAAAGATGAGGATTTAATAACTGAAAAGATTCAGGCCACTACAAATGAACCAGAAGCAGAATCAAGGAAAGTAAGCTCATTCAGCTGACTTCTTTAATTTGAAACTAACTATTAGCAAGTGGAGTAACGACGATATTAAGGAAAAGGAAGCAGAGGTGCTAACAATTTCCGATATAGACGATTTAGAAAGGACATTAAGAAATCTTGAAGCAGTATGCAACGACACAAATCTTTCTTACGAAGTTAAGTTTATAAAAAACGAGTTAAGATAATATGAGGATTGAGTTCATTTAAACTGATCGGGAGTGCTACCTATATAGCTTAAGTAACTACAGTACTTTACATATTCCTACGAAGTATAAAATTAAAGAGACTAAAATGGTTAGAGAATTTTAAATAAAGACGTTAAAAAAAAAGTTAATAAAGTAATAAACGAAGGAGCCAAGTTTTACTCAGCACTATAAAAATAATTTTTAAGTTCCAACAAAATTATTTACTTTGTTGTTAAACTGAACTGTAGTTATTTGTCATAAAAAAACCTAAAACGGAGCTTTTTACGTGCTTTATAAAACAATTGACTATAAAAAAAAATAAGATATTTGCAACTAAAAGACAAGAAACATCTTCACCTCACTACAGGAAGTGTTTTATTAGTAAACAAAAAAATTCTTCATTTATTTACTTTTTTCCATTTAAGGAGCGCTCAGCCGTTAGAAGACGCATTCGTAAACTTAAAAGTGAAGCCATAACATATCAGGATGTGTGCTCGGAGAATAAAAAAGATGCAAGCGGAAAAGAAAATTATAAGAATAAAAAAGAAATGTTTAAAACTTCAATGGCCTCTAACGAGGGTGGCAATTACCCTCGTCCAGGGTTTACTAGAAAAACTGTGGAATCCATAAAGGATAAACAGGTCAAGCATCTAGCAATTTATAACAATGAGGGTGGAAGTAAACTTTTAACTGTGACTATTAATAATAATACCAATATATACTTAGAAAGTAAAGCATAAGACTGTGTTTAGGTTGCTGCAAAAAATTATTATTGTATTCATTTTCTAGGAAGAAGAGAGAGCCGCTGAGTTCGTTAATAACCAGGATGTCTGCAAAAAGAATAAAAAGGATGCGACCGAAGATAAATATTTTGAGAAAAAGGCGTCCAAAACCTTAATGGGCTCTCATAAGGGTGGCAGTTACCCTCTTCAGGAGTCATCTAGAAAATCTGTGGAACCCAAACAAGATAAACAGGTCATGCTTTTAGCTATTATAATCAATAAGGGTGCGGAAGAAACTTACTTAGAAAATTGTGCATAAGACGGTATTTAGATTGCTGCAAAAATTATTTATTGTATTCATTTTTTAGAAAGAAGAGAGAATCGCTGAGTTCGTTGAAACTAAAAAGCAGGCGCCTGAAGTTAAGGCGAATGACGCTTCAGATAATTTATTGAATAAAGGTGAACAGAGTTATCTTTATTTTAAAGAAGCGTATATATTACTTAAAAAACTTTAGGTTTGCCTCAAAACCATGAAATCCTTTTAAAAGAACTTGAATCTGTTCGAGACGATCCAAAAGCTACATATAATGTTTCGAATATGTTGCATTCCATCAAACCTACTCTGTGCATTGATTTTATTATAAAAAGGAGCGTTCAGAGGCTCGAAGAAAGATTCGAGAACTTAAGAGGGATGGTTATTTAATGCCCGATAAAGGAGTGAAAGTCGATCAAAAAATACCTACAAAGGAAATAGAAAAACAGTCAACCAAAATGCAGTCGCAAGTAAAACTTAAATTTTCAAAAAAAAAAATTTTTTTAATAGTTATTTAATAAAATAGCTTAAATTAAACGAGGAAGTTGGAAGTAGAAAAAGTAATGAAAGTATTAACGAAAAATATTCTGGTTTGATAGTATTAATTTTTTTTTGTATTTGTGTTATTTTTTTTAAAAAAGGAAGTAAGCCCAGTAAGCAAAGTAAAACAAACGCTGGCGCTGCTATTACAAAAACACCGGAAAAAAAAGAGGTGTTCTGGTTGAATATTTTGTAATAGAAACTAACTATAAATTTTAGGGAAAGTCGAAAACTTTAGAAAGCCCCACTTTGCAAGTCTCCAAAAAGTTATAATAATTATTACTATTATTAATGCCAACTATTTATTTCATGGTTATATCCTGATGAAATTTAAAGCGTTTTTAAACCGGCTGGTAACTTTTGCAGGCTATTTTATTAGTATATTTTAAATTTCATTTTTTAGAAGGAAATCTTTTGAAGGCCACCGTTGCCCTCTTAAATAAAGCCTTTCATAAAAATATTCAGTGTAGTGAGAGGGATTTGCTTACCGCCATCAAAGTATTGTTAATGTTAATTTTATTTCCGTGAATGTCTATATTTCTTTTGTAATCTACTCTCACTAACATAAAGTTTTGGATATTTTTATTGATTTTTAAAAGGATGGAGTTTTATTGAATCAGTTTTTAAATTATTGCGTTCCTGATGCGATTGACGAGCGCGTAATTAATAGGAATGCTGGAAATAACGCTGGCATATTTTATTTTATAGATATAAATTAATAACTTTTAATATAAAAAAAGCAGAAATATAATATAAAGTATTAACTTTCTATAGTTGACTAAAAATAAAAAATGCAGGGAACCACAAACAACTTATTTTTGGCGTAAACAGTTTTAAGGACCAATTATAAGAGCCTCATTGTTTTTTAATAGAAAAAATTAAGGAAAACTTTACTTTGCTAATTCAATCCTGCTACGGGATTGGCTGCAACATTACTGTAACTGAAAATGATTTGTTGAGAGCTGAGACTATAGAACCTTTTCTTTGTTTAATACAACGCATACTGAAAGAAGGCAACGTTATCTTCATTATACAACCATTCTTTATATAAACTACACGTATTTTTAACCCTTTTTTTAAAGTTATATATACTAGATTTATTTATTTGCCTTAATATTTTGCTTAAGTAATTTATTTTATAACTATTTTTTACCCTTTATATTTATTTTAGGAGTACTGAGGGGAGCGAAGCTGACAGAAAAGAAAAGCCCACCTCTTGATGCTTGTCAGAATTGTAACAGGGCATGTTTTATATAAGAATCACTTTTATATTTTAATATTAAAAGTTTATTTATGGCATTCACTTTATATTTATAAACCTTTAGAGCCTCGATAAGCCGTATTATATTCTTCAACACTTGACGATTTGCAAAAACTGCATTGAAAATGTATTTATTATCAAATTTATAATTTTTTTTTATGTATAAATACTTTTTCAGGAGTACATTCAGTTCTTATATTATGGAATAAATATTTCGGATATAATGGAAAAAGTACACTTCGTAGTACAACTATTTTAATTTTTCTTTAATAAATATAAAATGCTAAAGAAAAGTGATAACCGACCCATAAAGCCGACGCCCAAAAAAGAATTCAGCGTGAAAGATAATATTTTTAAACAGAAAGATAAAGTTTGTCATAAAAATATACAGTTTTATATTTTTGTAAGAAAGGAATTTCAAAGACAAAACAAGCTTAGCATTTCACAAAAAATGTTGAGCTGCTAACTAAAAAAATATTGGTTCATTAATAATAATGAATTTGCTTGCAGTTGTACTACTTTATTTAAAAATATGCAGTACAAGCTAACATTGAATAGTTTTTTTTCAGTCTCAACACCACGTGAAAAAGCGTGGCACTAGTCATGTGGTGTTGAGAATGGTAGTTTACTATTTTTGCACCTAAGTTTTTGATACGTTATACTTAAATAGGGGTCTCCCTCCTCAAAAAAATCGTACGGCTCGGAGAGCCCCAAGGGTCTATTATTATTATTATGATATTTGTTTCTACTACTTTCAAGCTAAATAATATAATTTATTGAATTGTACTAAATTAGTTTAAAGGTTACTTGTTTTAATTTTTTCTTATTTAAATATAATTTTCTGATATACACTTATCGCTTTAAGTCCCCGGAAAGCTCGATAATTTACTGCGTTGGGCACAATTGAGAACGGTTGGTTTCAACGTTCCCATTGAAAATTTGACGACCTCGTGGAACGACGGTTGTTTATTGGGTCTTTATTTAGAACTGTGCTTGAAGATTTTATTCTGTTTGTGTAAAAGTTGGTGTTGGGTGCAGTAATTATAATAAATATTATATCAATTTCTTCCTTTTTTAAAACTATTTATATTACTTTCCCAAAAGGGTTAGCCTTTTGCGCTTTACTTTCATCGCTGGGGCTTGAGGACGAGATCCACTTTCACACGTTAAGTAAAAATGATAAAAGGCATAATTTACAATTGGCTTTCACAGTCGCTGAGAAAAATGGTTCAAATATTGAAACTCTGCTATTTGTCTTTTTTATGTAAAGAATAAAAAAAGGAGTTGCACCTATGCTTGACGTAGACGACATGTGCTCAACAGTAATCCCTTCTTTTCTTGGCTAGCAAAAACTTTTCTTATTTAGTTTATGATAATTAATTTTGTTGTTTAAGATATTTATAGAGCCGTTTCTTTTTTAATAAGTAATTTATAGCTCGAAACAGTTTAAAAACCTTTTTTAAATAATAATAGATTAATAACATTTTGTTGAAGTCTATATATATTAGCATGGCTTACTTGAAAACTCATTAGGATGTCCCCGACAAGATGTCTATCTGCACTTATTTATCAACTATTTACAAAACTTTGACTCCTTAATAAAAGTGCAAACCTTAAAAAAAGTTATAATTTACTTTTTTTTTTAATTAGTGTTCTTGGAAAAAAGGGGAACACAGTAGAGGAGGGAGATTTACACTTTCAAAGAGCTTAAGAGATAAACAAAAATATGGGACAGACCCCCAGCAAAGGCTTACCACGTGATAATTCACGTGGTTTAACCAAATAATATGGGTTTCCACGAAGTATCAGAGCACGTGATTGATCAGCGTTCATTTCCACAAATCTGTACTTGTTGAACGGCGACGTGTTTCGCTGTTAACAATTTTTACAGTTAGCAAGCAAAGTGAAGAAAAATGTGAAGACCAACAACGTATCGATGCAGGCCGTAGCGCGCAAAGTGTGTTGGTGAAAGAAAATTATAAAATCAGAATTTTTCTAAAAAATTACGACTATAAATAAAATAAATTATTGACGAAAGTAATTCGTTGATCACTGATCAAAACAAAGTCGATGCATATAAAGTCTGACGAGCCCACTTTCAAATTTTTGGACTATTTTATATTAAATTCCATAAAAGTACAACTCTCTTAGTAGTGTAGTGGCAGAAGGACAGAACTTTGGCCGTCCCAGGGTAGGCAAAAACTAACTACTACTCTAGAAATGATAATTAGATTGATCTACCAAAGTAGAACGAAAAAAAAGTAAAAAATGATTAAATTAACTTTTGTATACTTCCCTGACCCAAAGAGCTACTTTGTTGTCCAAGCATGCCTTGATCCTAGGGAAAAGTGCTGCTGGCCGTCCCTTAGGGATGATATAGCCCCCTCCACCGAGTCCGAGGTAAACAGCGGATTAAGAGTTAATTTAATCATTTTTACTTTTTTTTCCGTTCTACTTGGTAGAACAATCTAATCATTTCTAAAGTGGTAGTTAGTTTTGTGCTACCAAAGTGTAACTTTTTTATTGAGATAATTACCTATTTAATTTCTTGTACCTTAAAAAAATGATAAAAATTAGGTTATAGCGAACATTGAACAGGTTTTAGCAAATGACTAATGTTTTTACAATCAGGATGCTTCGATTTGTTGTTCCCTAGGTTCAATAGGGTTTTGGTTAATAAATAATGTTTAACACTGGGCAATAACTTTACTTGCTCAGCCTTCCTCTGAATGGTTCAACTGAAGAGAGCTCAATGGCTTGACCGTGTAGAGCATTATATCAATGACTATCTACCTTATTCGTGGTGCACGCTTGTGTTTGCACTTTTTAATGTTAAACTTTATCTACGAGCGACCATGTGCGCTGGCTTTTTATTTATATCAAACATTTGTCCTTGGTTCTAGGGGCTTTCGTCCTAACTTAAAGCTGGTTATAAAATGGATGTATAATTCCATAGTGATATGCTAGAGCTATCGAGTGCTGATGGTAACTTACATTAACACTATTTAATCCGAAAAAGGGTTATTTTTTAATTAAGTACTAGTGGCAGTTCCTTTTTGGGCCTTAATAAAGATCAAGGGTACTTTATATAGTCCTCTGTTGGTTAGACAATGCAGATACTAAACTTAAAACCAGATCAGGTGTCAACACGATTGAAAGTGTTAGCAAAACGATACTAATTATTTAGTTACCTAGTATAAAACCATCACCTGTATTTTTTTCAACGAAGCGTACTTACTTTATAACCGTGCGGACTACTTTATATCGTTATTTTCTAACTGGGTTCTTTGTTATTAGCACAGAGGCCTTTAAGCTGCCTATGACCTTTTTATTTTTATCTTTTAGAATTAGCATTCATAAGTCACACTCGAATGAAAATATCCATTAAGCTTCTCGTAGGATCATTGACTTTAAGTATTATCGCTTTATTGGCCTCTGTTTTAGGTAAGGTACCATAATCAATGCCTCTCTATGGTTATTGACTCTAAATTTGCAACAGTGCGACATGAAAGCCTTGAGCACAGGTTAAACTTGCAAAGCAAATCAAATAAGCTACCTTCCTATTCAAGTAGTAGACTAAGGGGCAAGGACTATAGTGTGCTACCGCGTAAATAATTAACAAATCTGGCTAGAGAGGCAGTAAATACTTACAAATTAATAATAATAAAGTAACGACCAAACCTGGAGAAAGGTTTTGATACGTAATAAAGCAAGCCGCTAAGTTATTATCGACTTAACACCAGATGAATAACCAGCTAGATAAACTTAGATTTAAAATAGACGAAAGATTACGTTATATTGTGAATAAATAAATAGAAGAAACAACTAATTAGGAAACTTTCTACTTACATTGCTTTGTCCCTGGGCTTAGCGGGGGTTTAGATAGACACCTTTAGCTTAAAATAAACCTGCTCGTCATACAAACAAATAACATGTAACCAAAGTGACTTTTTATTAGTAAACTATACTATTGAAGAATAAACGTTTCCGGATAATACTTTCACTATTAAAGGGTTCGAAATGATGACTTTCGAACCTTCAGAGACCTGATGGTACAAACAAGAACACAATAATCATTGGCTCATAAAATCTAAAGAATAGTTATTTGACTAGGGGTTCTGACGTATTGTGATATTGAAAGAAATTTTGGCTAATTAACTTAACTTAAGTTACATCTAGTTTTATTTGATTTGAATATCAAGGGTATCACGACTTACTTCTAAGAAGGTGTCAAGAGTCACAACTTATTATTAGAAAGACACCATAACCACTTTAACTCCAACCATAACCTTTATACTAGTAAACAACATGTTTGTGCATTTTTGTGACATAAATATCCCACTGCTAAGCAGTACTATTTTTAAAGTAATTAAGGTCTTTCAAACACCATAATAAGAGACGGTAATCTTCCGACTCGAGGCGTATTTTTTTTTCGCCTCCATCTCTGGGCTGTTACCGCAGCAAGATAGACCTGCCTGGGCAATCTTTCCTGAACTAACCAGGCGATTGCGTAAGTCGCTCTCCTAGTGGAACGTGCGCGACCGTTGGTTACATTTAGTCTTCGTCCAGCATTGTACTCTCTTTATGCTCGTAAGGATTCATGTCCCGTCCCCAGAAGCATAATAGTAATAATGGCCGAGCAAGATCGGTCCCATCTTTGCATGCCCGCCGTGGTTTTCCTTGCTTCTGCTAATAGGTAGATAATATCGATGGTGGACACTAGTTTGCCATCCGGAGGTAGACTAGCGTGTTAGTCTATTCTTATACTAGCCTTGTGGTGTTCAGTAACCCTCTAGTAATGAAGACTTTCGAGGCTTTACTTGAAAAATTATATAGTAACCTAGAGCACTGATTTATGTCTATTTACTGAAAGATTGACTTTATATTATGCATATGATTACCCTGCGAGGTTGAAACGTTACTTCGGAGAATCATTGGAGTCTCTGCTTAATGACTTCAAAAACCTCGGGTCGGAAGATCTGCACTTAAAACTAATAAAAACTGCACAGTGGCTTGAATGTAGAGGTAAGTGATATCTTTTGTCAAACGAGTATGGTTCGTTGTCTCCGGCTGAAATTAGATTTATTAAGCTTTAAATTTTCCATACTTCGAGCAAATGTCATGTTTGCACTGATGATTCTCGTTGCTTGATTTAACCTTTACTTTTTATTTCTAAGTTTGCGTGGTATATATTAGTGTTGCCGTCAGATGCTATTTCTTCTGAGAGGTACCTAACGTTGAGCTGGTCGAGTCTTTGATTGAATCATTGAGATTATTCTGAAAGCGGTCGCTCGAAAAAGCTTATGGAATGAATAACACAATAACACTATACACTGATGCCCTGGTCATTAGTGGGGATTGAATTAAGTTTGGCTAACTGATTAGTGTGGATCCCCGCCGAAGTGTATGGTGCTTATTGCTATGTATTGGGTGTGATATGTAGTAACGAGTACTGTCCTATATAGTGTTATTAGCTAGTGTATCACAAGGTAAGCGCACGGCTCGGTCAAAAAAAAAAAAGGTTTACAGTAGAGCAGTATATTTCTAAATGGAATATATACTATTGAAATTGAAAATAAAATTGTATACTATATTTTATTTATAAGTTGGGGCCTTTGAACGCATTTGAAATCAACTTATTTATCGCACAGCTTCTCCAAAACTTCAATTTTACGCGAAATTAATCGTTAGACTGTTAAACAACTATTCTTATAATTACTGTATAAAAATTAAGTTTTAATAATAACGGAGACAAGTAGTTATATATTTAAGTTAAAAATAATATATTTACTTTAAGTTTTATTTTTTTTGCTTTAGTATTTTTTTTTGTTATAAAAAACCATTAATTTGTATGCAAGTATAATAACTAAATCTAAGCAATGAGTTGCAGAAGTTGTGGCAGCGCGAAAGAATAAAAGCTTTATGAAGAGACTCTTTTGTCAACATCACAAGCTAACGTCAGGACTGACTCTATTTAGGCGGTGGAAATTCACTACTAAAATTTATTATGTAGTCAAAAAATCTTGAGCAAAGCAAAAGCAGAAACAGGTTGCATGTTAACAACGATTTTTTATAGTTCGGCATTGGGTAGCCCCCTCTTAGCGCAGGATTTTCTATACTCTTTTTGTTACGGTGTTATACGAAATGAAAGGGTACCATATTCAAGTTGATGAGAAGGGCTTTACTTTACGTGTAAACAAATACAAGTAAACTATTAACTTTAATATTTGCTTAGTCATGCGTTAACACCCCCATATTAAAGTATTTTTTATGTCGTGGTGAAAAATAAATGAAAGACAAACTATAGCGCAACTAAGGTGGGGCGCCTCATATTAAAGTTTTTTTTGTAAACGTGGGGTAGCCCTATGTGGCTGAGCGCAAAGATATAAAACTAACCCGATATTTAATGAGATAGCTGAAGTTTATGTTCATAGAGGTGCCTTCTCTGGCAGACAATGGAGAGAGTCGCTCAATCTCTAGTCTTTTTATTATAACTATGCCACATGGCAGCTCGAAGAGAGTTTGCTGTCTGTAATAAGTGCTAGGAAGAATTTTAATCGGCTGCGTTTTTGAGGGGTACAGTACATAGCAAATAATCTTTGCGAAAACGAAGGGTCGATCCTTTCAACGTATTTGCACGTATAATAAAGATTATTTTATTTTAATAATGGCCACGAGCACTTATTAATTAACCCGTTGGTCGTGTATAAATAAGCTTTTCTGCTAAGTGATACGAGTTTTGCTATAAACAAAGACTAAAAATTTTGTAGATCGTATATTTTATATAATAAACGTATATATATTTCATCAATCTATAAGCATATATATAGTTATTTACGCCTCTTACAGCCACTCACCTGGAATAGTACTTATTTTAAAAGTAACACTAATACGAATCACTAAATTGTAAATAGGCATACCAAGATTTCTTTTCCCATTATAATATAAGTATTTTTTAATATAAAAAGAACTGGACTCATATTAATAAACGCGACAACTAAAAATAGTTAATAATTTAATAATTAAAAATTAAAAAAAAATTAAAAAACTTAAAAAAAAAAATTTTTTTTCATGATATAAAAAAACCATTATATTTTTTAATTTTATCGTCAGCGTTATATATAAAACTTAATTCTGACTCCACTGAATAGTTTTCAAATCAACTCCTTCATTCACCTAAAAAGAAGCGAGAAAAGAAGTGAATAATAAAAATAGATTAGTAGTATGCAAAAATAATAATATAATGATATTTACAAATATTATTACAATTATAAAAATTTTAAATAAAAAATCATATCAACTATTAAAAAAATAGCATTTATAAGAATGATAAAATAAGAAAAATTTTAAGCCCTTAAAAAATATTTAGTTAAACAACAAATAAAAAAAAGGAAAAATAAATTTAAATATAAATTCAATATAAAAATAATATAAATATTAATATAAAAAAATAAAGAAAAAAATATTTGACAAAAAATAATTCATATAAATAAATTAATACAAAACTAATAATTCAAAAAAAAATCTAAAATTTTAAATTCTTTTTTTTAATAATAATTATAAAATTAGTTTCACTTATAAAATATAACAAAAAAGATATTTCACCAAAAAAAATAGAAAACAGTAAATCTTGAAAATTTTAATAAAAAAAGTTAAAACAAAATTATTTTTAAAAATAAATAAATCAACACAAAAAATAAAAAAAATTAAAAGAAAAAAGTTAAAAATTTTTAAATATAAAATATAAAATTTTAAAAATAAATAGAAAGAATTTAAGTAGTAATAAAAATAAAAATTCATGAATATATATTTATTTATAATAAGAAATTGATTTTGACTAAAAAATAATATAAAGTTTTACATAAAATTAAAATAAATAAATCAACGAAGAAAAAAAATATAATACAAACAATTTTATAACTAAAAATAAAAGAAATTAATTAAAAAATTTGTTTAATAAATAAAAATTAAAAAAAAATTAGTTAATTTAGAAAATAATAATTATATAAATATAAAAATTATTGTAATATAATAAAGTTCGTATTAAAACCCAAACATTATTATTTAAAAGGAAAACATATTTATTTAAACAATGAAATAATAAAATTAACATTAAAAAAAGTATAATCAAAAAAATATAATTTTACGAAAATAATAACAAAGGTTTTAAAAAAATTGTTGACCATTTCCCAAAGAGGCGACATATCACGAAGGCGTTGCACATGCTCTGCACATTTCGAAACTACAAAGTCAATTTCCTGAAGTTTTCATATATAAAATATTTAAATTTCATAAGATAATAATAAAAAAGTAAAGTTATTATATGAAACAATTTTTTAATGAAGTTGCGTTAATGCTTATATAATATATAAATATAAGTTTATTATACAGAAGAAAAAAGATGATTATAGTATAAAAATAAAAAAATAAATAAAAAAAACTTTATAAGCAGAATAAAGAATATTTCTTTTTTCTTTCTTTTATGTAAAAGTATTTACTTTTATAATAAATAATAATAAAAATTCAAAAATCGATAAAACATTTTATTTTTTGGTTATATCAACTATTTTATATCATTATAAATATATACTTATAAAATATCAAACTTATTATTTTTATATTCATTTTAAATTTTAAAATAATTTTATAACAATTTAAATATTATTGTTATTATTTATTTATTTTTGACTCAAGAAGTGTGATTACTTCTATTATATATATTTTTAGTTAATTATTTTTGTTTATTAATTTTTAAATTTATTTAGTTTCAAAAATATAATATTCTAATAATAAAAATATAAAAATAGTAACACCAATTCAAAACTATTCGTCAGTAAAAATAAATAATAATTATTAACTAAAAATATCATTTTATTATTAAATATCATAAACTTTTTCTGTAGTGAACCGGCCAATCCCAAAACGAATGGATGAGTGCGCCAAATCTTCGTCAGTTCCTAATAAGGATATAAAAAATAACTGAAATTCTAAAGAGTCACCAACAAGAAGCGAACCCAAAGCCCTCAAAACATAGGAGGGCTCTAAACTTGCAGATGTGCAAGCCGATCCTAATAATATAATAATAATAAAGTATAGTTAACAAAATTTATAAATATATTAAAAATATATTTAACTTTCCATATAAAACTTTTTATATAAACTTTTAAAAAAAATACTTATAATTAAAAAGTTTACATTGATATAAAAAGAACTTTCAATAGTTTACAAAACTAATTTTGCGCGCAATATAATAATAATAACCTGAGCTGAGTGCAATTTCTTTCAGCGCCATTAAAAGTGATTCGCCTTCGACGAATGAAAACGACAAGTTAACACAACCTTTTAAAAAACAGTTATAATAATAAAAAATAATAATAATAGATAATAAATATTTATTGTTATAAAAGATAATATATTTTAAAAATAATAATAAAAAAAAATCAAAGTGCATATATATATTAATTATTATATTTATTAATATTAATAAAACTCATTCGAATCTTCATAAATGATAATATAAAAAATATTAAACGCAGTAAATGTAAAACGTTTGAAAATGTTAAAATATATTTATAATAAAAGTGAATTTTTTATATTAAATATTACTTTCACAGTAATAGTAAGTAAATTTAGTAAAATATAAACTTTTTATTATTACCTAAAAAAAATTCAAATTTCTTTTCTTATTTTACTTATTATTATATTAATAAAAAACTTTATATTATATATATTTTATATTTTTCTTATTTTAATTATTATTATTAAAAAGAAATTTCTGTAATAAGCTTTTCAAATAAACTTTTTTTTAATTTTATTATTATTGTTATTAAAAAAGAAAAACTTCATTATATATTTATTTTTTGATAAGAATAAACATAAGTTTATTTTGCTATTTTTAAAACAATGATAAGTAAAAGTAAAAAAAAGCCTGGATAGGAAAACTTGGAATCTCCGTTTCGAACGACGTGCGAAATCTACATAAAAATAGTAACAAGTTACTAATATAAAAAAAAAATAATGAAATTATACTTAGTTTATTATTATTTACAAAAAACTTTAACATGAAACTTTATAAATATTTTTATTTCTGCAAATAATAATAGTAATAATAATAATAAATTAGAAAAAAGTTAAAAATAAAAAATATATACTCTTGATTGAATTCCATTCACCAGTTTATTGGATAACGCTTCAATTCGCATGGAATCGTACTAGTTTCATAATAATAATAATAATAATAATAATAATAATAATAATAATAATAATAATAATAATAATAATAATAGTAATAATAATACTAATAATAATGATAAATAAACTAAAAAAATTTATTACATATAAAATTCCATATAAATAATTATATATAACTTTTATATTTTTTCTAAAAAAAATTAATTTCGTAATTATATATTGAAATTCTATTTATATTATTTATTATGTTAATAAAAGTAATATTCAAATATATATAATATAATTATTATTTACTATTATTAAAACAAGAAAAAAGTAAAATTATAAATATATAAAATAGTAATAAATATCAAAGGTTAAAAAAATAATAAAAAGTGTTTAATATAAAAAAATTATTGGTAGAATTTGTAATCAATTTTTTATATAAATAATAGTAATTAAAAAGTTAAACAAAATCTCAAAATTGTAAAAAAATTAATAAAACTTTATAATAAATATTAATCTTTAAAAAAATCTTTTATTTTCTTATAAAAAGATTAATATAAAAGTAAACAAAAAAAATTTAATAATAATCATAATAAAAATAAAAAGTTTATAAGTAAAACTTTGTTTTTTTTTTTAAATATTGAATATAAATTGAATTATTATTATTATAATAAAAATGTAGTAAGTAAACCCTTAGATAATTATAATATTAGCTATAAATTAATATGAAATTATTAATAATCATAAAATATATAAAATTTTAAACTTTATTACTTTAACTTTTTAGTAATAAAATTTACAATATAATTAATAACAAATGAACAATAAAGTAAAATAAAACTTTATAATGAAAACTTTCCATATTTAAATAGTTATATCAAAAAAAAACTTTATTAATTTATATATATTATAATAATAAAACTTTAAAACATATACAGAAAATATATAAATATTCTTCAAATTTACTAAAAACAAAAAAAAGGATAGAAACGGGACCTGCATTTCTTCTAATGCGACTTTGCAGGCCTCTCCCAGCCCGACGATAAGCGGAGTTGGGAGTGTTCCACTGCGAATGCCTTGGAAAATATATATCATCTTATTAATAAAAACTTATAAAGTTTTTATTAAAAAATTCCATTTTAAAAAAAAATAAAATAATACAAAAAAAATAAAAAAAATTATTTATCTTATTATAAATATTTTTTTATAAAAAATTAAAAACTGTAAAAATTTTATTAAATTTATTAAATTTACAGGTATATATATGTTATAATAAAATAACTTTCATTTAAAAATTTCATATAAATTATAGTAAAAACTACAAATTTTTATACAATAAACCATTATTTACATAAACTTAGTTAATTTTTTTTATTAAAATATATTTTTATTTAAATTTTAATATGTTGATAATAAAAACTTTGAAAGTTTTATAAGATAAACAAAAATATATAAATGTAAGTAGAGTAATTCTTTTACATAATAAAATTTTTTATAAAAATTAAAAATATACAAGTTTTTAATACTTTTCTTTAACTTTAATAAGAAAAATTTATATATAAATAATAAAATTATACGTTAAAAAAATTTAAAAATTTAAAATTATATAAATTTGTACATAATTTTTTTATGATATAAAAAAATAAAAGTAATATTAAAAAAATTAATTAAATAATAATTATATATTATAATAATAAAAACTTAAAAATTAAATTTTAGTTAAATTTATATTTTTTTAAAAACAAAAAATAAAAAGTGTAATAAAGATATAAAAGTATGAAAATTAATTTTAATATATTTTTCTATTAAAAAGCAAATAATAAAAACGTAATAAAATAATATATACATAAGATATATTTTCTCAACTTTTTCATATTTTTATATAGTAATTAAAAAAGTTGTATTAAATTTTTATTTTTTTTAAAACTATTGTAAATAAATTATACGAAAGCTTCAATATTAATAGTATTAAATAATTTTTAGCGCTATAAAAAAAAATAAAATAAAAAAATCGTTATAAAAAAGAATATACCGTAAATTTTTTAAATATATTTTATAACGACTTTATAAGAAAAATATGAAAAAATTAAAAAAAAAATTTCAAGCAAGATCATCAATAAATTCCCGCAATTATTTTATAAAAAGAAATAAAATCAAATAAAAAATCATTTAAAAAAATTCTAGCAAAACTCAATTCTTAAAATGAAATTCATTATTAATAATTTTTATAATATTTTTATCATGAGCTTTTAAAAAAAAAAAAAGGAAGCACTTGACCTCTTTCTTGCCCTCCGCCACTTTGAAGAGGTTCCAGGCGAACACGTGGCCGGCGACGCACGTATAGCGCGCCAATTCCCTTCGGTCCATAAATTTTATGACTAACATAAAAAAGTTGAATTATTTTTATATATAATAAAATTATAAGAAAAGAAGTTGCTGTGATGTTTTTGTAAAAGCTATATAAAATATTTTTCTAAAGTTATAAAAAGAAGGTTAATAAAATTATAGGTAAATATATATAGAATGTATTAAAAAACTTCAAAATAATTATTAAGTAAAATAAAATATTAACAAAATTATTATAAATATATATAATTTAATATAATATATCTTTTATATAATAAAAATCTAAAAAAAAATTATAAAGTAAAAGAATTATTTATAAATTAATATAATATACAATTTTTTTTAATAAATATTATTATAACTTCTTTTAAAATAAATTAAAAAAAATTAATAATACAATAATAAGTAATTTTATTTTAATAAATGCACAATATATATATATTCTGTTTACTATAATTCTGAAGAAAAAATAAAAACCAACCCGCTTATAGAAACTAAACTTGCGTTAATTTTCTTAACATCAAAAGGAATTTTCCCAATCGCCTTAAAGCGGGACAGTTTTAATTTCAAAAAAAAATTATTAAAAAATAATTATTTAATAATGAATTATAAAAAATATTATAAAAAAGTATATTTAAAAAAATTTATTCAAGCAATAAATTATGATTAAAAATTTACATAAAAGTTTAATCAAAAATAAAATTAAACATAATAAAAAAAATTATTTAAGCATTAAATAATAAATAATATAAAAAAAAATTTATTATTTGAAACAAATTTAACAAAAGTACAAGGAATAAATTATGAAAATTTACAAAATATAAATTTTATTTAATAATAAAATTACACCAAAAAAAATCTTTAAGCAAAATATTATAAATAAAAACTTTGAAAAAAAAATTTTAACAAAAATAATATTAATCAAAAATTAAGAAATAAATTATAAATATAAATATACATAAAAATTCGAGCGTTAAATAGAAGAAAAAATTCTGTTAATATTAATTAAAAGTTTGACGAAAGAATATATATATATAACTTTAATAAAATTAATTATCGCAATGCAAATAACGAAAAATTATTTTCTATAAATATTTATTGCTAGAATTATTTTTTTGTAAATAAACAAAAAAAATAAGCAGAATATAATACATGGAATTCTATATTTGTTTGTATTTTTTTTTCCCTTTTCATTATGCATATTAATAATTTACAATTTTTAAATATACTTTATATATATATTGTTATATTACTCTAGAAGTTTTCATAAAAAAATAGGTTAATACAAGAAAAAAGTAATTTATTTTATATTTACAAAGAATTAAAAAAGCATAACTATACATATATTTATTTAAAAATATGCTAAACTTTTTTATATAACTATAAAATTAGAAAAACAAAACATCTATTATCATTGAACCTGAAAAAGTAAAAAAAAAAAAGTTCGACTCCAAAAAAATACTTTTTTTTAAATAAAAAAATAATAAAATTACTCAAAAAAATTTTTTTAATAAAAACTATTAAAAATTAAAATTAAACTTCAATTCTTAGCAAAAAAATTGACCTGAGCAGCGTCGCTGTGAAAAAAAACGTTGTGATTCTGACAAATGCGGCCTTTTTTAATAATAAAATATATCTTAATTAATTTATTTTTTATTAAATATAATAATTTATACAAAAATGATATAAATTTACTTTAAAAATATTTTATTTGAAATATAAAAACAATAATTATAAATTTTTTTTTGATTATATTTTGGGTAAAAAAAAGTAACTAAAATGATATAATTATAAAATTTTTTAAAAGCAATAATTCTTGTTTTTATTATATTTTATGCAAATAAAATTATACCAAGAAAAATAAAATAATACAAACTTTACTTTAATGATTTTAAAAAAAAAATTATTAAACAAAAACAACAAAATTTTACTTTTAGTATATTTTACTAAATAAAAAGGTTAACAATAATTATATATTTTGGATTCTGTCTGAATGTCGCTGGCGTGTAACGGTACTGCTTGTTCCGCTTTCGGGCCGCTGAAAAACGCTGTTACTATATAGTTCTAGGTACTAGTACTATATATACTATGCGACGATATTTTATAAAAAAAATTTAAACAAAAATAGTATGAATTTTACTTTTATTATAGTTTATTTAATATAATTCAAACAGAAATAATGCAAATTTTTCTATTATTACAGTTTGCTAAATATAAAGTTTTTTTTTTAAAAAATAATACCAATTTTACTTTTAATATATTCCATTTTATAAAAATTTATTTAAAGACAATTATAGTTTAAATTTTGCTTATAATAAAAAATTTGTAACTTTTCTTAGTTTATTTCTAAAAAAAAATATTAAAATGTTTATATAATAAACTTTAATTTACAATTTTTTAAAGATAATAAAATTTCTTTTATATTTATAAATTATATAATGAAAAAATAAATAATATAAATTTTGCTTTTAAATATTTCATTATAGTAAATTTTTTAATACAGAAAAATGTACATTTTACTTTTATTATTTTAATAACAATAAAAATATTTAATATAAATTATACTTTTCTTATATTATTTTTAATATATATATTACTTGTATTGTAGTTAATAAATAAATACTAAATGATTATTTCAATCAAGTTTACATTTATTATATTTATCTTTTTTTTAATAAAATCAATAATAAAATTTGCTTTTAAGATATTCAAAAAAAACGCTTACTATATTTTTAATAAAAAAAGTCTAAAAATTCCAATAACTATAAAACTTTTATTAGTGCAGAATAATATGATAGAAAACTTTTTTCTAATATTTATATTTATTCTTTAGTATTATTTTAATTTTATTATTTATTTCATAACATAGTTTTTTTATTGAAAAATTTTTTAAAAAAAAATTATTTTTTATTTTTATATAAAATTTGGATTTTAAAACTTTCATATAAATTTTATTATAAATAATTTTTCTTTGTTTAATATTTATCGATAATAAAAAATAAATAACAATTATAAAAACTTAAATTATACCTTTATTTTATTTAAAAAACAATATAGTTTTCCGTATATATTTTAGTTTAAATCTTTTTTTTTAAGTTACAAAATTTTTCATTTATTTTTTGTTTGAAAATTTTTATTATAAACAAAATATATAAAGTTATAATTATAAAATTATAAATAAAGATAACATAAAAAAGTATATATATTATTATAAATATAATTGTTAATTAATAAATATTATAAACAATTTATTTTTTAATAATAAATAAATAAGAAAATAAGTTTTGCGTTTTACAATTTATTAATACTTTTTTTTTAATTTTTCTGTTAAAGATTTCAAATATTTTTTAATCTTCTATTTACTAGTAACAATTAAGCAAAAAAATAAAATCTTCCTTAATTGTATTATTAATAAAAATTCCCTTTAGTAGATTCTGTTCAATTAAATATTTAAAAAAATTTAATTTTTCTTAAAAAATATTTAAATAATAAATAAAAGAAAATTAACAGAATTTGCTTCAGTAATTATTTTTATAAATTTTTTTAAATTTTTTCTGTAAAAATTCTACATTGAAAATTTCAAAATTTTTAATATTATGTTTTATAGTTTTTATTATCCTCAACTAATTATTATTTATAATACTAAATTATTTCATTATTATTATTACTTTTTGTTATTTTTTTTTAATATTAAATCTTCTTTAGTAGTTGTTGTTAATCTTTGTTAAAACAATAATTTACTTTTTATAGATATAGAAAGATTTTATTTAATATAATAAATAAAAATTGTATTTATTATTTGTTAAGTAAATTTTTTAAAATTTTTTTATCATTTTGTAAAATTTTAGATTTACGTTTTGTTAATCTTTCATAACAATATATTACTATAATTAATATAAATTTTAATAAGATAAAAAATTTATAATATTAGAAAAATTAAATTAATTCCTTTTAATTTTTAAAATTTTGTAAATTTATAATAATACTTTTTCTTTTTTTAAACTTTCTTTCTATTAAATTAGAGTTAAACTTTTTTATAAATAATATAAAAAATCTAATAACTTTTTATAATATTTTTTAAATAAATTTAAATAGATTTGGTGTACTTTAGAACTCTCTAATATTTTTTACTTGTATAATGAATTTATTAGTATTAAATAAAAAACTTCCTAAACACAATAAATGAATTATTCTAAAATACTACTCAAAAAAATATGTAAAGTTTGTTTAAAAATATTTTTATTACTAAAAATAAATAATTTATTATTAAATAATTAAAAAAGTTTGTTTTTAAAAAGTTTTATTTATAATATATTATGTAATATTTTTATTAGAAGTCATAAAAAAAAACTTTTATAAATATTTCTTAAAGTAATCGATACTGAATTAAAATTCATATGATTTAAATTACAAATCATTCCAATTTTCAAAATGTAATATATTTTATAGTAAAAATAATAAAGTTAAAAATATATTAAGTTAAATAAAACTTAATAAAAACTTCCTATAATATATTTTCATACAATTATAAAAATAAATTTAAATCTACATTATAATTATTTACAAGATGTAATAATATTAATATTTTTTAAAAAAAATTTCCCTCAAACCAAATTTTTTTAAAAAAATTACAAAATAATTTAATAAAAGAAATAACCGATTTCCAGGATGGGCTGAATCACTCCGATCTCATTATTCACAGTCATAATCGAAACGACAGCGGTATCAGAGCATATAGATTTCTCCAAATCCTTAAATTCATTTTAGTAAAAATTAAAAAAATTATTTTTTTAATAAAATCAGGGAGATTTACTCGCCACTTTATTTTAATTAGTATAATAATAATAAAAAATTAAATAGTAGAATAAAGAAATCTTTAACATTACAACGAGATTTATTAATCCGTTATGCTGCACAGGAAGATAAGTAACGCGGAAGCCTTCATTTTCTAAAGCTCGACAAGAATCCAATACACACTTGTGTTCCTTTACGGTAAATTAAAATAAAAATTTTAACAAAAATAAAATTTAAATTAAAATAAATAAAGTAATAGTAGTAAAATGATGTACAGTTTGAGTGGTGATCACATGTTTTTTCTTTGCTTTATAAAATCTGCAAAGGCCTTAAAAAATATAATAATGATTATAAATATATTATTATAGCTGTAAAAACCTTTTAAAGCAATGTTATTGGATTCCGTGGCACCGCTAGTAAATATAATTTCTTTGGGATCAGCATTAATAAGGCTAGCGACCTAAACGTATGAATAAATTTTCAAAATAGTGAATAATTAAATTTAAATAAAAAAAAAAGAAAGTACACAAAAATTTTCTAAAAAAAATAAAATTAAAACCTGCCCCCTAGCTTTTTCTACGGCATCTGAACTCTCCCAGCCTAATAAAAAACATAAATTAAATATTTTTTTTATTATAATAAAGAAGTAAGACCATAAGAGTGAGTTCGTGAATGGGCATTTCCCCACATGTTAGTAAAATAAGGTAGCATAGCGTCAAGTACTCGCGGATCAACGGGTGTGGTGGCAGAAAAATCTGTAAATAAGTATATAAAGTTAGCCGTATGTTAATATACTACCTCTATATCTCTAAGTAAAAACCTAAATAAATAGGTCTACATGTATTTTTTACTTTAAAGACTTCAAAGGAAACTCCTAAGAAAAAAGGTATGTAGAAATTAAGGTATTTAAAAGATTTTATAAAAAGACTAAAAAACCATAAAAGCGCATATAGGCATAAGAAAATTTTACTCTTTTCAAGTTAAAAAATCTGTTCATCTCTTAAAGTCTACAAAATGCTATTAGGAAAGTGATGGGTTTCTCAATCATAAAAAGAAAACTAGATGTGAACTGACGCAAATTATAGTGCCAATCATTTGAAAAACTATAATCATGTGCAGGTTTCGAGTTACCCTAAAAGACTGAAGCCAATAAAACATTTTACTTTTAAAAACAAGTTAAAAAAAAATTTAATAATGTAGAATAAATACCTGAAGTTAGTTTGTAAAAAATACTTTTTTTTATAACACTGTAAAAGGTTTTAATGCAATAACTACTTTTATCTATCCCTACTTTGTTCTCTTGTCTTACTTGGGTGGGAATATAAAAATTAATGTTTAAGCTTTTTAGAATTTATGAAGTAAAACGTAAATAATAATAGGTTAATATTTTTTTCCGAAGAAATATAGTTGGTAGCTACCAGTCATATAAGCTAGTTAATACTTATCTTGGCTATGCTTGACTGTACGTGACGTGACGTCAGAGACAGGTCTTGGACAATATCCTTAATTTTGTTAGTGAAACCTTCTGAATTTACCTGCAACAGTAGCTCACAGCTATTAATATTACCTACTAAATGCTTAACTTCTCCATTTTTAAGTTAAGTTCAAATCTAATTTATTTAAAATAAATATTTGCTTACATGTTAATAAGTATCCTTCATTAACATAAATTTTTTATATTTACAATATTTATAGAAGGGTTTAAAAACAAGAGTTATATATCTTCTTTAGCAATATATAACTGTAGTTAATAGCAAGTAATATATTATATGAGATTTCTTCTGTAATAATACCATGTATATATGGGAGTAAAGAGTATTTCGTAAATAAAAAGCTAAAAAATCTAGGGAAGCAAAAAGGGTAGAAACTTTTAAATGCCAAATTAGCATAACACAACAGTAATATATTTAGGTTTATAATATATTCTTTCGAAATATATTTAATATATAATTATATAAATGTCTTAGCTAACTTTTATAACTTAAATTTCACCTCATTATTTTCGGTCCTTCTCGTTAAAGTATAGAAATTTAATAGTAAAAAAAGAAACAATTGATTTTTATTCATTCTGTTAACTTTGGTTTTCGCAGCCCTCCTGCCTTGTTTTGTTTAATTTATTCTATAAAAAGCTCCTCCTGTTAAATAATATTGGATAGTGCAAACTCTTTTTGCGGACAGTTGTAAAAAATGGAGTTTCCAACCTTCTTAGTTTAAGCTTCATTTCAATATATTTGTTAAGGTTGCACGCTATGCTAAGTGTAACGCGAAACTATTTACATCTGTCAGCACCGTTGCGGTGCTAAGTAACATAGATATCGCTAGAACTCTGGATAGGATACTTTTTTAAGCGTCTCTTTTTATTAGCTGTTAGTAGATGCGTACCGCTTTAAAAAGTTTTTTTAAAGTTTTAACCGATATTAACAAAAATAATAATAAAGTCACTACAAAAAATAGAAAGTTATGGCGGTGGCCTTAAAAAAATTATGTATAATAAGAAGTCCTAAACCGACTTTTGGCTCATCGCATCGTCATAGGTTTTGTACATAGTTGTAGCCGTTGCCTCAATTATACATATTATATATTAACAAGTTGTTTTGGGAAAACTCGATAAACTAACAAATTTATACCCTATTACAAACAAACCTTATATCCGTCGTATTACTTGTTTGCAAAGCGAAGTGTTGTTTATAAAATAGCAAATACTAATTAACTTACTGCTTACAATTATGTGATCTTGCCTTAGCATATGGCTAGGAAAATATGGTTGTTTTATGAGAAGTAGCTGAAAGCAGCGGAAAGTTAATTCTTTCGCACATACTATTATACTTATCTTATATATTATCTAATAGCAGTTATAACTAAAAACAGGGATATAATATTTTTTTCGGGCATAAAAGTTGAAATAATTTTTCATTTCACTTCTGTCAAGAGTATCTCTGAAGTAGCTAGAGAAGTGCCAAGCTGCATCTTCGAGAGCTAATAATTTGTTAAAGCCTCCGTGCAGTGGTTGTAATGAACACATTACAAAAGGTTTACATACTGGGAAGTAAAACATCGAAAAGTTCTAATAAAGTTTTGACAAAATGTGTACTATCTACTCCAATTAAACCAGTTTTAAACCCGCCTGGTACACCTGGAACCAGCAATTTTCTAAAGCGACGCCGTTAGGAGAGACGAAATGTTTACAAAACTATTTGACTGTACCATAACTTATTACGGGTCATACGGTTAATAGAATCTTTTATAAACATAGTTACTTTAATTATAAAATAGGAAAAACCGTTTTTTAATATGTAAACTTCATTAACGAAGGCTTTGCCTTTAATATCTTTAAATGACTTGTGCAGGCTAATATGTACAAAAGTTCACTTTCCATGTTTCTTCGTTAAAGATTAATTTAAGTATTTTATTTATTTTGTATATATATTGATTGTTAACAACATTGGGTAATAGTTGAAGTTTAGAGGCCACTACGGTTTTACTCATCACTTTTATGAGGATTTAGAACCTTGCAGCAAAGTTTCCATAGCAGGAACTATTGACGTAACGTCTCATTTCATGCACTATTTTTTAAAAAATTTCTTGTCTGTCTATTTAAGTTTGAGTTGAATATTTAGTGCTGTTTTTAACTTCAGTGGGTTGCTGAAAATTCCCATATTAGCAACTTTACGGGTCGCCTTTTTAATATTTTTGATACATAGCCACTTTAAAGACCGGAATACAAACAATATTTAATTTAAGTTCGTTAATCAACTCCCTAATATGTAAAAGTTTAGCTACTTGTTTTACTACCAAAATAAAACCATGGCTTGGCCACAGGTTTTAACAGAATTCGGAAGTATCAGTTTTATAAAGACACGTATATTTTTGTACCCAATTGTGTCTGGAACATTATAAAAGTAAACTATAATTATAATTTCAGGGCAAAATAATTTTTAATTTTTTAATAAAATATATTTTTACGCCATTACATTAGCGTTACTGGTACCCCAGAATGGCATTATCCCAAGAAGTGTTGTAAAAAGAGTATAGGTAAAAACTGTCTCACCACAATCTGTTCCTACCAGAAACGAAGGGCAGTCAAAATTTGATATATTCAGATGGTAAAAAGCAAATAGTAAATCAACCGCAATGTTCTAATTATTGATTATCAAACTTCAGACAATAATTTTTTTCACATAACATGAGAACTTTTATGGGTAAAGGTGTGTTCACGATCTTAAAGAAAGATCACTTAACTTTCTAAGGCCCCACAAACGATATCTCAAACAGCTCCTATTTTTAAAACTCACCAGTTTGATATTCTATGGTCCCGTAGCTCTTCGTATTAAAAGGATGCGTAACGAATAAACTGTGTCCTATTATGCCGGTGTTCGATAATCATACTATCAGGATGGGGTAATATGGAATTTATATAGTTACTTTCCTTGGTAAACTTTATCCTTCCACTTCATTGCTATTCTAATTTGCTGTTTATGGTTACCTTCAAGGAATGCTTGGACCAATACAATTTTTGGTAGACTATCGTCTACTAATTAAAAGATATTTATTAATGGCTAGCCAGAGTTTATATCTTTTAGGGTACTCAAAAGATGCATTTACGTATCAAAATATGGTGGTAAAATGGACTCACTTTCCGCCTAACAATTTAAATAACAACTCCTGATAATCGTTTTAAGCTCAGTGTTAAAATCCTTTTCCAAATAAAACGTAGTGATAATTTTTTCTCCTTTCGCCTTAAATTATATAATCTCTTCAAGAAAACTATACCTTTTTACGACGCAATGATTATTTAAATATCGTAAGGCAACATACAATCGCATAAATTTATCGGGTTTTTTTTTAATCTCTTTCTTATTTGCAGTGTTAAATTCGTGTATCCCCATCCACCAAGCCATGATTTTAAACATAGTTTAAAGAAGTTCGAGAAGACCGAATTTTTAAAGTTATTTGCATATCTTTATTATGGCTCTCTTTTTTAGTCTCTCTTTTGTCTAATGTTGCACCACACCGGTGCTTACATCTTTAAGTTCAAATACTTCTTTCAAGTTCCTTCAACGTGGATTGTAAATTCTTCACTACCGCTCTTTCAGCCCTAGATCCCCTTGCGCTGCCTCTCTATACCTTATTTCTTCAATAAAGCCCTAATAGCCTTTTTAAAACACTTCACTTTTTTTTGTAATAACCAGTTCTTCCTCATCTTGGTCAAATATGAAGGCATTTAGATCCTCTTTTTTTATTAATATCCTTTAAGTTAGCCAAAATCCTCACCTCCCATTTTCAAGTTCCCTGCTAATTTCACTAGGCTTCTGCCTAAGCATCATATTTTTGCTATATGGCAATATATAGTTTACGGCATAAATTTCTACCACAACGGAACACCAAACTTTCTTACAATCGAATATAAAGGATGGAATCAATAATTTAACCTTTTTATCATGCATATAAGTTATAATTAACAGACTTGGTCCCAAAAAGAATTAACACTCATTCTACGTTTTATTTTTCTTATCTACTTTCAATACCACTTAGAATTGAAGGAAATAAACTGTACGATGTAATATTGGAACATCATAGCTTATAACCAAACAAGCGATACTGCGCTAGAGAGAAACGATGAGGTCAACCCATTTTACTATTTAAATCACAAAATTTACGACCATCCAAACACAAATGTTATTGAATACACGCTTGGGTGTGCCATCGTGGACCTCTACGGGGTGGCGCCCACTCTGTTTCTTACGCTGCAGTGATATGTACTTGAAAAACTTTTGTAATAGCTTATAATGAATTACGAGCTAGCAGGAACAAACTTAAAAGGTTTCCTTATAAATTTAAAACTACAATGGTAATTTTGGTTCAATTCAAATCATATATAAAAGTATTTGCAAAAGCTGTTCAGTGTCTTAGCAAAATTGGTGACTATATATACTTTGATGCTTACAGTGGAAAAGTAAAGGATTATATATATATATATATTTGTCCTTACACTTTCATAATTTGAAGTTGCTTTTGCGGTCCTCGTGCAGTTCCCGTTCAGCTTATTGCCATTTTTCTTTCAGTCTTAATTTTTTTCAATTACAAAGCCGAAGAGAACTTTTTAGCCGTAACCAGGAAGATGCGCTACATTGTTGCTTATTAGGAAAGGTTCTTTAAATGTATATTTTTACTAAATAAACTAGTTTTAATAAACCTGTTTTTCCTTTATGCAATTCATAGACTCTTACACCTCTTTTTAAAACGTGTTTGTCTGGCGAAAAGTTAGTGGAGCACTGCCAATTGTGTATACCGTCGTCCGAAGAAACCACGTGTGAGTTGAAATTGCGTTGTAAATATGGTTTTTTCATGATCATTTTCTTATTTTCATGTTTAATTATATTAATTCAACTTTCTAATACTAATTAATAGTTTAGTCTATTAAGACTTTTTAATGTCATATTAAAGACAGGTTGCCTTGTGAATTATAATTTCAAGTTAATTTATATTTAGTTATAAAATGTTATCACTTTAAAAGTTTATTTCAGTATGTAGACAAGCAGGTTATATATTATGTTTAAAGCTTTAACTGTAAATACTTACAAAAGGTGTCGAGAAAATTTATAACTTTAACGTGATTGTTGGCGACCTGTTGCCGTTAATTACTTACAAAGAAAAGTGTAGAACAGTTATTACACTTCAGGTTCTTTGCATATAAAACTATTTTTTCAGAGTTTTTTACTGATTTCATTTTTCCACAAGAACGCCCTTCTCAGCGAACTTTTGCTTAACTTTCCCTCGAATATTGCAGAAATTACGCTTTCCGTTAAAGAAACTCAACTTTGCCTTAAGTCGTGCGACGGTGACTTGTTCGGTGTTATTTTCGTCCCTGGCATACCCTTGTGATCTCATACTCTATTATTTAGCAGCGGATTCGCGGCTGCACACCGAATTTTCTATTGAATGTAAAGAACTATTGGAGTATGCGTACCAGCGGGATCTGCTGCTAACCTTCCCCGTGCGCGGCCTTCGCGTCCGTATAGCTATTGATCACTGGGTTTTAAAAATTTAGTTTTTCTTCAGGCTTTTCTTTGCTTTTGTGAGGGCTTTCGAACGCGGCTGACCCTCTATTTGGACGAAGGGGGAAGGTAAGAATTTACTAAAAGGAGTTCAGACAATCAATATACTTTTTACAGGCCAATCAGCGTCTTCTTCAGTGATATTTGCCAAGCAGAATTAATATTGTCCACCTGCGATGATGAGGATGTCAGCAGCGCGCCCTTTACTGGTGCGCTCCTTTTTTAGGTAGTGGTTGCTAACAAGCATGAACTTCGTTATATTAAAGGCTTCGCTGATGAGTCGAACGTCACATTTGAGGCCGAAATGCAAGAAGGCATCTCGCTTATCATGTCCACGTGGTTTTCTGTTATTGCTGCTTTTCATAGGCGTCTGCGAAGATGACATTTTGAACGGAGCTTCCACCGGATCGCCAGAACATACGTTTTTCTTTTCAATAGATTTTTTTAGTCTTGCTAATATTTTTTATTAGAGCACGCGTTACCGTAGAGGGACCAGCAAGGACAGGCATGTGAATTGGCTTATTTTTCTTCATTTTCCTTTGAATTTTTATTTTTGCAAAGAACAAGTTGTGCCAGTCGACTCAGAAGACGATTTTGTTGTTCAATCCACGCCAGTCGCCTCCGACGTACTTTTCCAGCGCCGTTTTTATGGTACTCGCTGGTTTTATTTTTTTTAATTTACAGGAGCCACTCTTCTTACTCTCCGAAAATCTGTCGGAAGGCAGCGACGCAGACCTGCAAGACGCCACTCGCCACGGAAAACCGAGAAGGCGCTGTAATTCAGCGCGTAAAAGGGTTTAGAGTACTAATAAAGATTTATGGGGGGAAGTTCTTAAATGTTCTAAAGAAAATCCAAGTTCCTCAGATGTAGTTTTTACTCGGTTGAAAATTGTGTTAATCTAAAAAGTTATAATAAAGATTCAATAGTATAACTTTAGTTAGTAGGTCTCGGACCTTTGCTCAATAACGAATACTTGTGCTTTTTTAAATAGATTTACGGTAATACTTCAGAGACTAAGTTTGCTTATATGCTTACATCGTGCTCTAGTATATACGAAGTTGAGTGAATGCTTAGAATCACGGAAGTTATTCCTCGTTAAAGTTTTTGTATTTCCATATCACCGTTGCTATAGTAGTTAAGAAAGATAAGTACTTTAAGGGTGCACTATTTTTTAAAGATGGAAGAAAAGCTTTACTGTGCACGCTAGAAGAATGAAAGAGTTGTGTACAAGTGAAACAATATTTTAGTACTTTTTTTAAAAAAAAATTTAAAACAATTAAAAGAGTTGAATACCACTAGTTAATTTCTAAAATAAACAAGTTATAGTTGTCAACGGTCTGGCCAAGTTAAGTTGTAAACTAAAAGAATTATGGCAAATACTTTAAACATTCTCGCAAAAGCAATGATAGCACGGATGTACTAATAGACAATACGAATAAAATTATATGTTTAATGGTATAATTGTTTACCATTAAAAACTTTTATCGGAAGCCGTTGCAATCATTTGATAAAGATAAAATAAGACTATTTTTGGATTCAATTACAGAAAAAATGAACAAGCTACCCACTGCAGAACTCGTGAATGCAAGCTGTTATTTCAGTGTTAGTGCCAGGGCCACGTATCGGTCCCCTTTTTCTTCACAAAGCCGAGTGAACACAAGAATTTAAATTCCAAAATGGACCATTTTCGTTGAGTCGAAAAACAACAGAATTAATAACGTTCTATTAAACGGCGTAGAATGACAGTTGTTTGAAAGTAATATCTAAAAATAACGATAATAACTTTCACTCTTGTATAGTTAAGTTTCTAGACAAGTTTTAAGAGCTAAAAGCTGTAAATATTGGCGGGCTGTAAGAAGCAATTGAGGTTGAAAAAAAGATGCAAGTGTTTTGTTTAAACTTAATATATTACTCCATCGAACGCTGCTATTTTAATTAATGGAAAAAGATATTTTCGGTGCGGAAGTGAAAAAAGCTGCATCAGGTAGTATTTATTAAGGAAGTGGTGCATTTAAACCTTCCTCACGTTAGTTTTGCAACACAAGTTTATTGGCTACATTCGCCTCAATGAGAAATTTACTTTTAACTCGGATTGAGCGATCACGCAACAGTTAATCTCAAGCTTCTTTAAACCTTGAACTTCCGCTTGCCTGATAATTTGATGCCCCTTGTCTGCGAGCGGTGACGTCTTACTCGGGTGGGCACGGTGTCGCCCCTCCGCAGAAAATTTAGCGCTTAACCTACCTACCGGCACATTATTAGGAAAGAACTGGGTCCAGAATAATTTATATATCGAAAATAATGCTAACGATCGCGTCTCTTCTATAAGTTTGTTAGGATATACGGAAACCCAGTGCACTCATACCTACCACAAGAGACGAGAAATTTGTGGCGGAAAATGATACTGACAATGCGGCACTTTTTGTTGTTCACCTCGCTACTCAGGGAATACCTCCTGCTTATTTAGTTATAGTGAAGTACATAGGAAATTAAACTTCTCAGCTGACGTCGAGGAACAGCTTGAGTAATATCCATAGGCAATATCAAAATTATTAACGCTTTACCGAGACGAATGCATCTGACCCTGACGGTATCATGGGATGTTAAACAACTACCAATGGTGGCGGTAAAACGTCTATGCTCCTCATCAACTCTACGATGGCTTCTGGCGCCTTCCTTTAAGCTGGTACACGGCACGACCTGCAGCCATACCAAGCAAATACAGGCTTATCAGGCGCTTGAAAGCATTTGTTAACGCAAGCCACACTCTGCTAGAGGTTTCAATTGGAATTCTGACTAGGATACTTTAAGAGCAACAGTTCCTTCGCTAAACAGAGTAGAAGACTCGTGCTCTTAATTTGTAAAGGGTCGTCTATCTGAATTCAAAAAAGCTTTTGACCAAGTTTGAATAAGAACTTGCTTCAACCAAAATGCGCGCTATAGCCCTTCCTTTTGTTTTTTTTAACGTGATCAAATCTTTAAGGACCGCGTCCTCGAGGCGATAAGCGCTCGCCCCTAAGAATACTAAGTGGGGTTCTCACAAGGATCTCTTCTGACGCCTTTTTACTCTTAGCACCTTATGTGCGCAACGTACCCAATCTGATGATTTCCACACGCGAATTAATTTTAAGCGGATGGCACGGCGAGTTATACCTCGTCAAAGTGGCCTCCCATATTGCGCCAGCATCTGCAATTACTACTCAGTGACGCTTGCGACTGGTGTTAATCATTGTAAAACTACTATTATTGCGGGAAACAGCAAAGCCCTTTTCGTCATGAAGAAGCGCATTACACCATTATCGACGCTGACCTTCGAAAACAAGGTAATTCCTTAGCGTCCTCAGGCAGTAAATCTCGGGGGTCATTATTAACAATAAGCACTGGTGTCAGCCGTACTTAAACTATATCGCAGCCAAGATCAAAGAGGCGGTTTACACTCTACACCCTTTTTACTTTGTGCCCGACGCAAACCTCATTGCACAAAAACAACACGTATGTGTTGAGTATCCGATCGATCATGACACACGCCTCTATTTCCTGGGCTACCGCTCACCGGCATAATCTCTTCGCTTAAAGTGAGACAAAACAAGCTGCTACGCCTTATTACGGGCGCGCTATGTTTTTGTTGGCAACGATACCTTACACCAAGACTCCCAGATTGAACCTGTAAATAACGTTTTTCTACTCATTGCTACCGCTACCTACGAACGGCTTCTTCAGCACACCAGTCTATTACTAAAGTTAAGGTAAATTACGATATTTGAGATACCGCTCAGTTATCGCCAACCGTGCAATGAACTTTTAATATATAATATGGGATAGGGTTGAATACGCTAACACCCTGTTGAGAGGCTGAACGCGAACTTTATATATAGGCTATCTGTAACAAGCACTTGTACGACGCTGAACTTGGCGGCAGAAAGCCACCATTACTTTTATAGGAAGTATGTACATTGCCATCGCGAAGGCACCTAGAATAGCCAACATTCCAGGGCTCATGAGATTTCAAGCGGCTAATGCTAACATTAACAGCACCAACCTATGCAACTAGTTCTCCAGTGATGGTGAATGTTTTACAAGTAAACTACAGTTAAATTACACTTAGTAACTACCACTCTAGAAAGATAATTTGATCATTCTACCCAAGTAGAACAAAAAAAGTAAAGAATAAAGGTTAAATCCTATTTACGCTGTTAGGCTCTACAGGTGGCTTAAGTATCAGCCATCCCAGAGGCCGTGCCTGCCTTTTCTGAGACCCAAGCGATTAAAGGAATTTAACCCTTATTTTTTACTTTTTCGTTTACTTTAGTAAAATGACCAAATTATCATTTCTAGAGTGGTAGTTTGTTTTATTGAATCAAAGTGTAACTTTACTGTAATTTATTTAGTAAAACCATCACTTTTGGAGGAATTACTAGTTCGAATCTAGTCAGTATTTTTATTGGGTAAGCAACGAGCTATTTTTTAATAACCTTGAGGTTCTGCTTGCTTATTATCTTACCTCCGTAGGAAAGTAAACCAACTTGGTATTAACTTTAATGCTAAAAGAACTTAAATTAAGTAAATCGAATGTTACTGCAGGAGGGATAAATTGACAATTAACTAAAGTCAAACTTAGCCTCAAGGAACGCTAGCAAGGAAGAAACTGACAAACTTTGCTTTTAAGTTAACATACTTCTTTGTGTTTATGCGCTTAACACAGTTATGGAAGCCTAAGCTATCCTGTAAAGATCGTGTCAACTGTGTTGGTTGGGTGTCTGATCAGCATTCAACTGGGCTACTAATTTAACTTACCTTTTAACTTTGAACTTAAACCTTTAAACTTGGTAGTCTAACAATCAAAGAAATAGACTAAATCTTTCCTTTTCCTGAAGGTATTCTCTAACTCCAGTTAGATCGCCATCCATGGGGGAATTCCTTAATTCAGGCAGGTTAAAAAATCATTGTGCTGTTTAGCAACCCTCTAGGATTGGTGGCTTTAGTGGCTTGAGTTGAAAACAAATAGTAAACTTAAGGTATTAGCTCTAAACTGTAAAGTTTATTCACTGAAGATTAACCTAACCATTCAGAATATGGTTGCCGCGCTTTAATAATAAAATTCAAGGGATGAGAGAAACCACGGAAAGTGATAACTGCTAACGCGCAGTTCGGACGAACTACTTATAATAATGGTAAAACCTTATGGAGACAGCATTCTGAGGACTCTTATCCTTCGTATTAGGGTTTGCTTCCAGTAGGTTCTTGTGTGAGACTAATCGTTGCTGCTAACTTTGGGATACTAACGTTATTGCCTGCTACTCGATCCTAGGGGTTGTCCTTATAATCCGGCCTATCCTTTTCACTTTTTTGAGTTTAAGGCTAAGTTACTCTAATACGCAATGATTCTTGCATACCTACGCCAATATCTGTCGATTAAACTAAATGAGTGATTTTACCATTTGGATCGATTCTAGGTGCTTACGTACTAGTTAATGTTAACTGGTCTGCAATGGAGTTTATCATTGTTCTGGGCAATAATGCTAATTAAATAGTACTGCTACTAGTTCTGTCTCTAGCTAAAGTGAAAATAATTTATAGTACTTTACTTATTAAGTTTATTATATTTTATTTAATTTAGTATAATTTAATTATTATTTTTAATCATTTTAGTGCTTATACCCATAAACATGTAATCTTTTATCTTTCTCTGGATATAAGCATTATTTTATCTTTTTGTTGATTTTTTTTACTATTTTAGTGCTTTTTACTAAAATATTTAGGTGTCTTAAAGCACTCGTTCAAGAGAGATGCGTTTTTTTCGTCTCTCGTCGCTTTTCGCACGTCCTGTGCGAGCATTTTTATTTTTTGTACCTTTAACTTATTTTTTTGGTGTAAGAGGTGCGAAACAGCTCCCATACAGCTTTGAACATTGCAAGGTAAGCGTCGGCGATCCTTTAAAGATACATCCTAAGTTGAGCGTGTCAGGGTGGCCTTGGAGCTTGAAAGTTCATGTGCCTACGACTGTTGGCTAAATTTTAGGCCTTTCGCCTACCGTTCTACTTCTTCGTTGGAGCGAGGGTTGCTCTTTGCCCCTAGGCCAGCATCGTACAAGTGCTTGTAACAGACAAGCCTATATATAAAATCCGCGTCCAGCCTTGGCGTTATTCCTGTCACCTGCCCGCGGCTACGGTCTAAGGTATTCGAAAGGTCGCCCATCCGGAGTACGAATGCAACGTGGAATAGAAACATCTTAATCGGATCATTCACTCTCTACTCTGCAACGGAGTCAGCTTGGTTGTTTCAGTTTCAGTAAACTTGCTAAATAATTCTTAAACTTTCTTCTAACACTAACAATTGATTAACTGAGAAATCCAATGCAGCGTGATTATGGAACCTTCCTAATTAAAGCTCTATCTCAAAGATCACGTTGTACTGCGGAAAGCTCTAGGATCGTAACGGTCGTGTTGAAAAACATGCTTTAAAACTTGGTAAAAACTCCTAGGCTGGCTAAAGTCTAAAGGTAGGTGAAACCTTCCCTGTATCTTTGGATGAATAGAGCACCATATTTGCAGCCCGCCTCTAGTATATATAATACTAGTAACTAGGACTATATAGTAGCGACACTATTATTGTGTCGTTACGCACCGGCAGGTCAAGAAGATACAGGAACTAACCGATGGCTCCGGAAGCAATAGTTTTAGGTAAACAGCACTCATTATTAAGCCAGTGTTCAAGCGTGCTTTCGTCTTTGCTACTCACACCAACATGAGCTTAACCTAGTAGCAACTTAGCTACTTTCCTCAAACTTTATAATAGTGCATGTATTAGTTACAACAGCTCTTCCTACGCGCCGCATAAGAATCTTACTTTTCAAAAGGGAATGCTAGTACTCAACTCCAAGCTTTAAGCAATTTAGGTGAAATAGTTGTTAATTAATTGTGTGTTACTTAACTAAAAAGTAGCATAGTCATCCTCCAATGAACGAATATAGTTAATGAGCGCAAAGTAGCTTAAAAAAATAAAGTTTTCATCCAAGTATACGAGGAATTAGCATCTGTCTGGTGACTAAACTCATTCCGACTTTTTACTAATTTTTTTTTGAGTAGTTCTTTCGAACTACGCATCACTCGACCAGCAACTCTCCAAAGTCATATTCACCTCTTGGCCCTTAATTGCACAAGAAGCTACCATAGTCACAACGAACAGGTTTTGCAAACAATTACATTGATTTATTTGAAGCTGCATTATCTTTCGATCAAGTAACGATCGATTCGTCGTAGATGACCCGATACAAAAGTAGTTTGCTTTCAGACATTATTCCGCCTTTGGATTGGCTTGCTATTGACTACACTAGATAGAAACCCGCAAGTAGCCGCCAGGAAAAAGAACGATGGAAGACGCGAATTTTCTACATAGGGCCAATATAGTTTGACCGCTTTACGACCTGAGCCTAGGCACAGAAAGCAATCCTCGCTCCCTGGAAGAGTGTATTAAAGTTGACGAAGAGTCATAAGGTTAGCTCCAACGATCAAAGACAAGACAAATTGCTCGACAAAGTCTACCCCGCTAAGTAGCCGACCTACATAGTCGCCAGTGTGTTTAACTAAGTTACGAAGGACTTACTTGCTCCGCTCACAGCTAAGTTTAGGTTGTCTACGCATGCCCCTCACAGAGAAGAATGTTAGAAATAGATAAATTAGCGCACAGAACATGCGCAAGCAACGAGAGACGGAAAACGCATCTCTCTTGTCAACGGTTCATCAAGTTGCCTAATTAATGTAGATAATAGGGTTGTTTTAAACCAAAACAAAGAAAAGTTCAATTAAATTAAAAAGAGTGCTTCAAACCTGAGAAGGAAATTATTTTCAATAAGTTTCTGTTAAAGCAATAAAAAATAGTAGATTAGTCAATAGCATTCTTGTATACGATATCATAGCACTTTACTGCATACTGGAAGTAGAAAAGCATTATTATCTTTATTTCAATTAACTTTAAGCCAACTCTCCTTGACTTTAAGCTAATTTACTTTTGACAATTTCAGTTAATTTTGGCCAACTTGAGCTAGCTTTCGCTAATTTCAGTTGACTTTAGTTAACTTCCTTTAATTAGAATATCGACCTTCAGCATATGTTTACCACTAGGATCTGTAGAGAGCTTCATTTAATTCTTCCTACTCGCAAAGAAGCGTTAGATTACTACAAGTCAGTAGAATAGCCAAGTCAGAAGGACAGTTGTTCATCTATCAATAAAAATCTATTTATTCAATTAATTAAGAACCAAAACCAAATTAGTTCCATTTATCATATTTTTGTTCATTAACTTTACTACGATGAGCTGTTTTTTAAAAGTTCAAAACCCTCACATTTAATTGTAAAAATCAGCTGTTTGCCTTGCGGTATAAGAGTTAGCAAAGATTAAGCTCCTGTTCCCAAAATAGATGTTTCACTATCTCATTGGGAAAGTATTGCCCAAGTAGACCAGGAAATTAACTTGTTCAATTCTAGGCCGACTATCAAAGCCAAAGTAGAGGTGCTACCAAAAGCCTCAGCATTTGGTTGCATGCTCTATTTCACTTCCATAGGGTTTAATTGCACATTTTCTTTCATAGTACTTTGGCATATTCGTGTTCTTTACTGAATTAGCCTAACCTTTACTAAGGTCAACTGTTGTTAGCTAAAATTCACCTAATACTCGATTACCAAGATTACTTCCTAGTATAAAAGATCATGACTAGTTTCTACAGGTTTGTATATTTCACTTTGGTTTCTCAACCTAACACAGGGAACTTGAAGCCAAATAGAGAGATAAAAAAATTGTTACAAAAATTGCTTATCAATATACAAGACTTTTTTTAAACTAAGACTTCGGTGTACTAGCTTATAACGAGATAGAAAGCTTCACTTAGAGACAAAGTCAATAAGTCATTCAAGGGAGTAGCAAAGGTTCAAATTTAAGCACTCTTGTCCCCTAGGCGGCTTATGCTTAAGAATGGAATCAAACCACTGACGTTACTGTGAAGGAGTCAACTACTTAAGCAATTTTATAATAAAATTCCACTCTAGTAGAACGAAAAATAAACAAATCTAATTAATCCTTTAAACGCCTCGGTCCCAGTTATGCAGGTTTTTTGACTCTAGGATGGACAGAATGGGGTCACCCGGTAGGCCTAACAGCTTAAATAGTATTTAATCTTACTTAACTAGCTTTGGGTTTAAAGATTATAGTTTTAGAGTAAAATCTACTAAAGCTTCAAACTTAAAGTGGTTGGTTCAATTCCAATTAATCTTGAAATGAAACTAATTAAAACGAACAACAAGGATTGTTCTTCAACGGGTTATTATTGGATTAGCTGTTCCTGCCAATCAAGTTACTCTGGAGATCTCGGTTCTTCCTTGGCCTTATGCTTGGGGGTCCAGCTAACAACTGGTGTATTTTAGCAGAAAGTTATGTAGTAGACATAGAACTCGCTTTTAGTACTATCGATCATATTGTGAGAGATGTCTTTTTTTTCGATACTGTTGAGCATTAGGAAATACTATTAATAAAACAAAAAATTAAAAAAAAAAAAAAAAAGACATAGGAATGAATCTGTTGAAAGATCTATTCAAACGCCTAAAAGCCATTAAGTACTTCTCAAAAAAAAAAAAAAATTAAAATACATTAAGTTATATAATTTTAATCCTTGCGAAATGAAATTTAGATCTCACGAAACCTTATAGTGTAGTAACCAAAAAATACGGAAAGTATAATTTCGATAGAACATTCTAGTGTAATGTATGCTTCGAAGAAAATTCAAAAGCAAAACAAGGAAACCCCCTTCGAGTACTTCCCAGAGTTTTATGGTAGTAACTCAACCCCTTGCATAGATCGCAAGGAAATGAATATTGCGTATAACGAAGTTGTCAGTGTAATTTTATGAGGACTACCCCTGTATTATATAAACTACGTCTTAATAGTTAGCTATTAAAAATTTACACCATTTTTTTATTTTACACAAGCTTGAGTTGTTAAAGCATATGCTCGCATTGCGCTTAAGCTTGGCGCATATAAATTTTAAAGTCGCCTTTATTAATGATAGATATACTAACGCTTCATTGCCATGAACTTTATGTGTAATTATAATACAATCGCTTTGCTTATTCGATGTATTATATTATAAAACTTTGCCGTATTCGTTAGTCGAATATAATGGAGAAAATGACTGCAGTTAGGAAATATTTTATAGATAATTTTAGTCAGTGGTAAAACAAAGTTTACCCTATTTACTTAAATATTTTTTAAAAGTTGGTCAAGTAATAAAACAAAGCAAAATTGAGAGAAAGAAAACAACTATAAAATACTGCATGGCTGTTGGATTTTTTTTAGTTCCTTGTTTAACTGTAGGCGAAAGAGTTTAGTAGTCGCACCTTCTCTTCCATATCTACCTCTTACCTATACTAAATCGTAATACTAAGCAATTAATTATTATAATTAAAGGTGTTCAGTTGCTTAAGTAGGGTTTATAACAATTATAGTTCACAACTCGCTATTATATAAGTAACGGTGCATTTCTTTTGTTTTATAGTAATTGTTTGCCGTTTACCTTTTTTATTTCGACTAAATATGTTTATTTTAACGCAGGTCTTTATGTAGGGCACTACTTTAGCACAAACTGATCTGTAGTTAATTAATTGCTTATAGATTTATAGCTTTATATCTTTAGTCATCTTATTATTACATACTATTTATCCTAAAAGATTACCTATAATTATAACCATTGGGGACCTAAAATTTTTTCTTAATTATGAAAAAGCTTTAAACAATGACGCTTTAATTAATAAATAAAGCAGTGGTTATCTATTTGTTAGCATTAGCCATCATGAAGTCCATAGCCTCCCCCCCCTGGCGTGTGTATAACAAGTCTATCTCGACTGTGGACTTCAAATGTTGCTCTGCCTCCTACATTTACTGGTTTCCTATTATATTTTTCCTGATACTATGCAACAAGCAAAGAGTGTACGGTTGCACAACACCAAAAGTATCAATATACGTACGAGTATATTCAGGCCTCGAGATCCTGGGTTAACAAATAAATCTAGGTAAACCATAAGCAAAAAAAAAGAACTGAAACCTGGACACCCCCCATTCATGCCGGAAGGGGCAAAAGAACGACGTTCACTGAGAATTGATACAGTTTGTTTCTTCCTAAATTCAATTTCTCGGATGACCCCGTCACCACTATATGCCCCAATTAATACCAAGTTGGTGACATAACAGAAAAGCGTTACTATACCCTTTGAACTTTCCTAAGCCTCCAGAACCCTTCCTCAATGAGAACTGCCTTAGAATAACCTATAATATAATTCCATTTAGTCTGTAGAACGTAATGTTCTTTGAGCTACACAAGTCTATACACACCGGGTAGCGGTTTTCTAGTACTTCTGGATCCGTTATACCTTGAAGTATAAAGTGTACAAGCGGTAGAATAAAAATATTAACAGAAGCCAATAACGCTTGTACGTGTATTGGTCATGTGCGTATGTACGCCGGCTGTCCCGTGCCAAGAGGGCCCTGCGCCTGCACCACCAGCTATAGTCTCGTAATAACCTGGAGTGCCCATAGTGCAAGTTATTACTGGGGAAGGAGGGATATGAGGTAACAGCTGCCACAGAATAACCGTATTGATTATCGCCAAAAGTTAAGTTATTCATACAGCCCTGCGAGTCGGCACATGCACCCAAGACCTTCAATATGACATCCGCCACGCGCTGGGAAGTCAATACATTCCCACCGACCACTGCAACATCTGGCCTGGAACAGGGAAGGAAGCAGCTAAACCAGACCCCCAAAGCAGGCAGTAGCTTACCCCGGATCAATTATGGAGTTTGGGGGGATCACAAACCTTACAGGAGTCAGGCAGCCCTGAGCACGTGTGCAAAAGATAAGACAATACGCACATCACATAGAAGACAAAAAAGGGCAATAACCTGGTTTAATGGAATTTCATAAGGGATCAAACACCGCAAGCAATATATAACTGCAGACAAAGTCACAGCCTTCGGCATGTTCCAGTTGCCAAGTACCTTCACTAATATGTCAGAAAATTCCAGGAAAGGAAAGCTTACAACAACACCTGGTGACCAGTGTTGGTGAAGTCAAAACTAGCGCTCCCATCCTTGAAAATCGTCAAGTGGACGCAGATGGGGCTACCGTCATCCATGCGATCCTCGGCATAAAGCACGACCTTTTCTTTTCCACGAAAAATAGACTTCGGGTAAAAATTGTCATTTGGTGAGTGGTCAGATGGGCTGGACAGGTCGCGGTGGACCCTTTCAAAAATTTCTTGAAGGCTTTTTCTAACGCGGTCTGATGCATTTTCCTTTATTGATTTTGTTAGTTTGTAGAAAAAATTCAAAATTTTGTCAATTCTACCTGAATATGATGCATATACGCCTGCACCACTTTTATGCCGTATTGCTCAATTAGTTCATTAACTAATCGTATACCTAGGTAGTGTATCAGAAAGACGATTGAAGACCACGTGAGTAGAATAAAAGCACCATGGTGGTTGGCAGCAATCTGTGCCTTCAAATCCGATATATTGTCACCTGGAGGCATAAATAGCAGCAACACTTAAACGCGTTGTTAAAATGAGCACAACTTATGCGTCGAGCTCCCGCCTTTTTTAGCAGTGCGACTAACTCATTTTCACGGAACTTACCGCCTCTGACAATGTAAAAAGACTTTACAGCTAGTCCCTCCTAATAAACGGAATAAGAAGGAAACCAAAGAAAGCAAATAGCAAAGGTTGTTCACTTGTTCCAGAAAGCGTGATGTTGGTGGCATGGAACCAGGTGTAATGCCGCCTACATCCGCGTGGTGTCCCCGCGCAGCCACAAAGAAAACGGGCGCACTGCTCTCTAAGGTACCAGGATTAAGGCACTCGGATTGAGGCTGTTTTTTGCGCATAATCTAAAACCTTCATAGAAAACGGGTGTTATGCACGTAATATCCGGAAGGTGTGACCCTCCGGCTTCAGGGTGGTTGGAAATTATCACGTCGCCCTTTTTCATGGCGTCATCCCCTTGAAATAGTTATTATTATAAAAGTGGTGGAGGAGAAAAACAGCGGGTTGCAAGAAACCTTTTAACAAAGTTATCTGGTACTTAACAGCTTCCTGCATTGCGCCGAGGTGGACAGGAATGTGCGGTGCATTAGCAACCAATCCGCCGTCCGGGCCTATTAGGTCACCTTTAGGGGCCACTAGCACTATATTAGTAGGAAACAAGTATTACCAAATAAGGCGCACGAAAAATCAAGCCTTTCTTTAATATTAGTAGATATAGAAGTTCCTGCAAACTCCAAATTAGATATTTACTAAGGTATCAAGCAAGTCTTACTCTGTAAAGTGCAACCCATTTGCTCTGCAACGCTCATAAAACGGTGGGACAAGATGGCCAATAGTACAGGATCTGATTCAAGCCCTAATGAAAACCCAAGTAACTGAAGGCAGGGGACGGTTTACCCTCATAGATACGATGTTACCAATGTTGTTAACTTTTTTGTCCTCCTTCCCCCCTACTCGAATGAATAAGGACTTTTGTTTGTAGGTGGCTGAACAACCAGGTTCGACCTTATAAAGTTGCAAAATAAGTTAAGGTTCATTAGAAAACAAAGCCCCATAAGAAGCACCAAAACGGTACTAGTGGAGTCCATAATGATGCAAGGACCAGAGTAGACAACAGCCTCGCTAGGAAAAAGATCAAATTTGGTAGCATACACCGGCGTTTCTTTAAATCCGCCTTTAAAGTAACACCGGGTGGTTGCTATTGGCTCGACTACTGGCCTTAAATCTTTTTCCGTTGTCTGGTCTCCGGGTTCGCACACTTCTTCTAGTGTACTTCCCGTGCCAATGCCTCTAACATGGATGTCATCAATGATAATATCTCTTGCAGGAATGGTAAAGCCAAACTCCCGTTCATACTGCGACAACTAATTATGTTTTGTTAAAAATATTATAAATAAGCAAAGACACATTTTGAAGAAAGTAATAGCCAAAGTCGTTAAACTCATCGCCTTCGATCATTAAGGAACAGTCGGTTTTGTCGTACCGCATGTTCAGCAGTTTTCGGATTTTTATATAACTTTTAGCAAATCCTTGCTCCTATTGTAGCGAGGTCCTTCAGTAAGAAAAAATTATTCATTAAAAATGGAAACCTCCAAGGCCTTCGTGGTTTTTTCTGAGAGCTCAAAGAAGTTGTATTTAATGTTCTTCACAACTTCTTCATCCTCGGGATCGTAGATTTTCGAGCAGGGGCGCTGGTTTTCCACAATGACATCAGCGAGCGCTATGCCATAAGCAGATAGAATACCAGAATATCTGAGTGGGTAGTAATTAATAATATGCCTCTCCATCAATATATAAGCACGACTTATTAATATAAATTTCTTTCATCCCCAACGACTTAGCGATGGCAACGGCATGTTGCCCTCCTGCGCCGCCAAAACTACATAAAGCATGGGAGGAAGTGTCGAAGCCCTACTGTCAGTTGTGGGCACAGATAACATAATTAGTCATTAGCATCAGCAAACTTTCGACTGGGTCAAAGAGCGGATAGACCGGCACATGGCCTCATTGGCCACCTCGAGAAAACCTGGCGAAGTAGGCAGAGGTCAGGCGTTACATACAAGTGAGTAGCGAGGGAAGAAGGCAGATACCATAGGCCACTTCTTCACAGGTCATGTCCACGTAGTTGGGAGAGTGCTAACGGGCATGTCAGAATGCTAGTTTTGATACCCAACAAACTTCTATATGAAAGCAGTACTTTTTTTTTGTAGGCGTTTATTTCCTTCGTCAGCTCTTTAAAAGCCCTTCTGGTCGCTTCAAGGTCCAAGCCCTCGTTCTCATCAGGCCCGAAAATTTTAGGAAAGTTGTCAGGGTAGATTCTTCCTGAGCAAACGTATAAAGTATTGTTATGCACAACACAGCGAACTTAACAATACCTAGTAGTAGATTTGCGTCTGTGATGGCCAAGTGGCCGCCTTTCCTGTAGCAAACAGGGCCAGGATTAGCGCCAACGCTCTCTGGCCCCACAATAAAAATGCCTTCTTGAAAATATAGTCTACTTCCGCCTCCTGAGGTAGAGCACAGGGACACCAAATGTTCAAGTTGCAAAAAAAATTGCATGGTAAGAAAAAGGAAACCAGCCGCAATAGTATGAACGTCCAGCTGAGGTGCTTGAATAGTGATGCCGGCGGTTTCTGTTTCAAAAACGTGTTCCTTAGAATAAAAAGCTATTAGGGACCAAAAAAGGACGTTTTTCAGGATTATTTAAACCAACTTCCCAGAAAAGCGCGAAACATCCGTGGAAGTGCCGCCCATGTCAAAGCCTTGATATTACCAGAAAATCGGTGTTGAAAAAATTTAAGATCACCACATAACAAGTAGTAAACCAATCAGAGGTGAATTTGTTAGACGTCGATAAGTCGTTTTACTGTAACCAACCACACCCCCTGCAGGGCCGGAGAGGATTGCTCGAAAGCCTGATGCGACGGCAAGAGGCAGACATGGCAGAGCAGGTAGCACGTGCAGATTACCATTGAAATCCTGCACGGAAGCAAGTCCGCCATCAGACTGCATAAAGCTTATGCTCACTTTGGTGATGCCATTATCAAACCCTACAAACAGCGCTGTTAAGTGCGAAGATAGGATCCTTTGCAAATGTCAAACCTTGCTGAAAGCTGTGAACATACTCGGTGATGACTGGAGTCAGGTAGGCGTCCGCGCACGTAGTATAACCCCGAGACACAATTTTAATCATGGGCATGACCTGCCAAGGACAATCAGTGAAGTGCCTTAAAAGCAAAAACAGAAGTACTTGTGAAGAAAGAGAAATGTGGCGGAAGCCGACTTCTTCTGCTAAACGAGCCACTTTTTTTTCGTGCTTATCATTTAAATATGAGTGCATAAACACAACCGCTAAGCAACTAAAGCGGGGAATACACTAAAAATATGTTAAAATTAATGACAAAAAAAAAGAACTGACTTAATGCCGGAGTTGTAAATATCCCTTAGCTCTGACAGAACAGTTTTTTCATTTAATTCCTGTCCAATTAAATAAACTTTTTTGCTGTTCAAATCGAGACACAACCAGAGAAATAACCTTTTCAACTATAATTTCCTGCCCAGTCAAGCTTGAGATGGTCGGTCCATAATCGTTATCAACATACTTCTCTTGTTTTTTTAAAACAAATCTGACAAAAACATAATAAGCATGACTTTTTCTGAATGTCCACCCGACAAAAGCTAAAAAACCTTTCGTCAATCTCCACAACGCGTTTATAGAGCACCTCCTATAATAAAGAAGATTTAACATATGTTACAATGTTGTGTTACTATATTAAAAAAGCTGCTATATCAATAGAAGTAATGTAACACGAATAAATAATTAATATGTTATTATTTATAACGAAAAGACTGTGTTCCAAAGACTACAACAAATATATATATAAGAACCAATTTTTCAATTTTTAAATCAAATATTTTGGGCCTCGCCTGAGTCCCAATGACGAGAAGGTCAGCAAAACCTACAAGATTAGTTAAAAGAGCTAAAAATTTATACGTAACTTTTTTAAAATATTATTAAAAACCCTTTGTAGTTAACAAAGCAACATCAGAACCCTTCCTCTCTAGAAGAGCATTAGTAGCGACTGTAGTCCCCAACCGAATGCTTTCAATAAGTTGGGTCTCAACTATAAATATTACGAAATATACACACTACCCGCTTATAACAAAAATTGGTACCTGGTTTGGCTTTAGGGAAGCTCTTGCCAGTAACTTCTTCTAAAATACGGCGTATACCTTAAAAAAAGTTTTGCCTAAGTTAGAAATAAAAATAGATAATGGGTCACCTTCCCTTGCAGGGTCAGAATAATTAGATGGGTCCTCAGATAACAACTTTATTACCTTTAATTTTACAAAGGTTAAGAAGGGTTTTCAGCTATATAGTTTTAAAAAAAAATATACTTTAGGACCAGAGGGAGTATCACTGTATACGTCTGTGAATGTTCCTCCTCGATCAATGGCAAAACTAAATTTTTTATTACCCATATTTCTCTTACCCTTTCTTAAGACAAAAGTTCCTTATGATCTATGGTCATTCACTGTGCTAACTATTATCGTACTGCATAAACTTTTTTTTAAGTAATGGAAAGTTACCTATTATATATAATTTCTGTTTTCGGTCTTTAACTTTACCACCCACCAGTTGTATTCGCATAGCTCCCAGTGGCTAATAATTACTACCCCTGTCAGTTATGGTTTTTTAACTAGTGCCATGCCAGTTTTAGACTCACAGCGCTTGCATTGTAGGTGGCTAAAAATCTGGTATATTTTTTGAAAGGAAAGTACCACTGGATGCCTATTTGCCAGCTATTTATATATTTATTTTTTAGTGATTAGTTAACTTTTTCTGTTACTGGGTGAACATAATTAATGTGATTTTAAAAACTTCACTTTAAACTTGTCATATAAAATTAACGTTTCATTTAAATCTGTATCTTCAATCAGAGTAATGGATATTGGGTTTTTTTTAAAATTTATGTAAAAAATGCATGAAGTAAAAATCTACTTCCAAATACCACTTTAATTAGGGTAAGCCAAAGTTCTAGTTATTTAATTCATTCTACATTCCTTGCCTAAGTAAGAAGACGACTGATCCAATTTAAATAACTTTATACCTTGTTCTCCACGGTTTACGGATATTACGTTAAAGAAAGAATGATAACAATGAAGGAAACTAAAAGAGCCAAAAGTTAAGGTTATTTTACTATATCACGGCGCAATGATGTAAATAGATATTTTAGAAACCAAAGCTGTAAGTATTTCCCCAAGCTGGGTGCAGCATGTTAGCATATTTGTTTGATAATAAAAAAGAGTGAACATTCAAAGGACAATTTGAATTGTTTGAAGAGATATATTATTATAACTTATAACACCCAAGGCCTCAAGCATCTTTATGAAAGAAGAAGATAAGATATAAAAATAATCTTTTTAAAGTAAAAACACTCTAGATTCAAGAAAACTACAGAATATTCAACTAACCAGCTACTTACGCGTGATTCGCATATATTGACGTGGACTATCACTCATATTTAAGATCGTGCAATAACCTAACTTAGAAAGGCGCTGACGCCTCCTTATAGACGCTTAAAAGATATGTAGCGTAAAGTCAAGGTTTCACTGAAAAGAGTCACACCGATGTAATATTGTTTTTTTAAACAATTAAAGTCGCTAAGGTGTTGCTATAACCTTTTCTTTGGAGGACCGTTGTATAATAGTGCGTCGACTCGAGTTACCATGAAGACTGGCTAGCTAGCTACACAACCAAAGCGTGCCTTTAAAAATTCTCCCATGGGAAGTTCAATAATGCCTGGCTCCGTATTCTTGTTACGACTCAAAAGTCGTGAGTGTTCTATGAAGATAATAAAGCGCGCCAAAATTACAAGTGAAAAAAATAAAAGAATAATAAAAGTATTAAATAGGTTATTAAGTACAGTATATAAAAAACGAAATAATAACATATAAAAAAAGAGAAGGAATTAGCCAATAAAACTGAGAAAGAAACTTAGAAAATAAGGTTAAAACCAGAATCAAGATCATAAAAAAGGGACGCAAAACGCTCTTCACTTCGTTGAATATAACAAGCATTAACAAACTCTCTCGAGCGCAAGCCCTTTACCTAAGAGTAGACCTCAGGGTACAAAAAATTAGGTGTTCGAGGTAATAACATGAGCTCAGTCGTAACAATTCTACTTATTTTTTTTCATTTTGGATTCATACTTGGTTATTAGATTCGAAATGAAGTAACTATGTATTACTTAAAAAGGAGGACTAGTTCACTGGTATTTAAATTCATGTTTTTGAGTAACTCGTTACTTGGGACGAGCATTCACGTCAATCAACTGATAGACATTTATATACCCATAGGAAAGTTAAAAATGGTATGCACATAATAATTTACAAAAGTAAACTAAAAATAATATAATTATTTTCAAAAAAAAGTACATATACCTTAAATAATTTTTGGCCTTACTTTATTAAAAAGTCAATTTAAAAGCTAGGGTTAAGCGTTTTGACACCGTTATTTATGTAGGTTAAGTGTCACTTAAGTGGCTATAAAATAAAAACTTAAATTTAAAAAGATGCTAGTACTCTACTTTCTGGCTGCTGGACTATAGTTAAAATAACAATTGCTTGGTAACTTACAAGTAAGACGGCTTCATAAAAAGTTTTATAGCGCAGATAGAACAAAAATTCAAATGTACTGGATTACCTCACTATCTTAATATCCTATTCTCTTCTTGGACACTGCAGAGTCTTATCTAAACTGGATATCAAGCAAGCATTATATAATCATAGAGGGTTACTAAACACCACAAATGTCTTATCAAATGTACACCAAATACACCTGGATACTACTGAGCTAAAGTGCTTTTTAATGTTTAGCATAATTACTTTTAATTTATGTACATTCTTCCATTACTACAGACACTAAAAGGTTAATAAGCTCTTTTAATATAGTTGCTTTACCAAATTTTTACCGTAACATATTAACTCATTAAGTGATCACCCTTAACATATGGTTTAATATACGTCTTACAATATCGCGGATAAGCACAAATATTTAGAATCTTAAAATAGTCTCTTTATATCGTATGAATAATTACTAAGTTCAAAAATTAAAGGTAGTATCCTCTAACAGCATTGAGTTAAAGCAAATATTCTTTACAGTATTTTATTAAAAAATAAATTTATTCTCATATTTCTCGAACTAAAATTGTTTGCGGGCACTGAATATTTTTAATAAGTAGTATCTTCTACTCTAAATACTCTTGCGTTTTCTTATTTATTTTTTTTTTTGGTACATTTATCTCTTTGTTTTACATATAAAAACATTTTAATCTTAGAGTTCAGTATTGAGGTCTAGAGTGAAGCAATAATAGATCTAGACATTAACTAAAGTTTGCCTCATTGTAGGGGTTCAAATATAAAGTTAGAATGCAAAGAAGTGTTATAGCCTTAAGTGTTGTAAGTACAAAAATACCTTAATTGTATTATTTAAAACACGGAGGCCCGCGAGAATAAATCGTGCAAGTGGTGGTTGCTTGCTTCGGCTCTTCATATATAAAGAAGACCTTTACTCGTACTCGGTTGTTTCCTATTATTCTCAAAACTTAGATGAGCCATGTTCGGAGTAATAGTACCCGGCCTTCCGGTTATCCTTACTTTATGAGATCTTTTTCGTAAAGTTATGAAGTTTTTAGTTAACTTTGCTTAATATTCGGAGCAGGTCCTAGTTAACGGAATGGTTATTGATGCAAACAAAATATTGTTTAACCTTCCAGATCTTTTTACTGGGAAAAAAAGTAGCCATCTCGTTGTCTTTTTAACAGGAGCGCAGTCTCTCTTTGAAAGTTTAGGTAGTTTTTTAGTTTATAAAGTTTTTTTATAAAGATTTTGTTATTTTTAAAGGAGCTGCGATATATTTGTGTACCGACAAGGATAATTGGCAATACTTGGGCTATATCTCCAACAATAAACCTTCGGCTATATTCAAAATTTCTGCCAATTCAATAAATGTATTATTTTTTTTTGTAGATATTTCGTACTTTATCCTTTTATATATTTCTTACACACTTAATTTAAGACTTTTTACTGCGATTAAAAGGCTCTGTTATTTTAACATGTAGACTATGCGCCATTCCGAAAACACCTTTGGTTCTTCGTCTGAAAGTTTTCAGTTGGCGCTCAAGTCTAACGAAATTTTGGGTTTTCAATACTTTTTACTTATCACGTTAAATATGAAAATCTTTTTTACTTTACCGGATAACAGGTATTTCAGTTGAGCCTTTAGAGACTATTGAGCAACTTACTGTTTCCCTTCCTGAAACCTCTAATCCAACTACTTTAATCGCTTTTTGCCATAAGATGTTGGAAAATTTTTATAACTACGCCTCTTCTTTTGCACAATCATATAATCAGGTTTTTTTTAAAAAAATAAATACTTTTAAACTTTACTTTACTCACGAATTTATTCAAGATAGGAGACTTAAACACAGAGGTCATCCCCATAAAAGTTCTTCAGCTTTGGTTTGATTCCATTCAAAAAAAAATTACAACAGACATTAATTTTTGGAAGTAACACTACATTTGTTTGTACTTTAAAATATATTAATAAAGTATAATCCATTTTTTAATATTTTAAATAAACAAATTCTACGCAACAATTATTTATTTTTTCTGTAATTTGTTTTCTGTGTGTTGAAATTTTAAACTTACCATTACTTTGAAGGGTTTTTAAGGATCTTTATACCTCAATTAATCGCCTGTAATAAAGTAATATGCTCGTCATATATATATATATACTAGTAGATAACGCTATCCTAATTCTATCCTTTACCAGTATTGCACTACAGCGCTACTATACATGAGAAGAGAGCGCTAATTAGCTAGTTACACAAATAACAAATTCTAACAATTTCGCTAGAAACCTTCTCACTGTAGTACTAATGCGTATTATATAAGCTTGTAAAGGGGCAATTGTGCGCAATGTGACCGTAATTTTGTGACGAAGCAGTTTTTTAAAAAGTAATTAACTTTTTTTGAATTATTATTTTTTGGCTCGTGTTACTAAGAAGCCCACTATGAATAGTAATTTAAATAGTTTTAAACGTCTTACTTGAAAAGTTATTTCTATTTTACTAAAATGCTGCACAATAAAGAAGTTGTTTAGTAAGTTTTATAACAGACAGACAATAGATATAATCCCACGGAACTTAAAAAATATTACATGGCAAGGTTATTTACCTTTTATTAATTTCTTTCTTTAAAAAAGTTCCTACTTATTAACCTCTAAAAATTAGCGTCAAAAATTAAAAGTAAAATACTCTTCATTGTAAACGTAATTAAAATTCTTTATTAACCAACTATAAAAAAGGCACCTTTTTAAAGGTGTACAAACTTTAATTTTAACGTGTCTCCCCACTAATGTCGATTACTTGTAAAATGACTTAAGACTCTTTTGAAAAGAATTCTCCATTATATCCCTTCCTTGCGGAGATAAGTAAGGGTTTTCGAGTAAACTAAAAAGTCGTGTAAAAGGATCCAGCAATATTAGTATTTGTTTCATTTTAGCTGAAAAATACTTTTCATTTACAAAAGTGGTACTTAACAATACACCTTTTTATATACACCATGGTCAATATGTATAAATCCATAATACGTGCACTTTAGGTTAAGTTTAAACCTCTCACTTTTTGTAATTTCGCTCGCAAAACCTGGAAAATTAAAAACTTGTAAATTTTAGATAAGAGTATAAAATATGTACAGATAAAAACTGGGGTCAGACGGCTGAAAACATTTAAAGACTAGTAGTGCAACGGTAAGCACTAAGTGCGTGCCAAGACATAAATTCGAGCTAAGCTATTTGTACTTTTACTTTTAGGTTTACCCCCCCCCCCCAAGGGCACCTTTTCGCCTCTTAGAAGAAGGACTTATAAGGCGACTTGTGGACTTCAAAGGAGCTAACTTATCTACACCCATAAATCTCATGCAGACTACTTTTAGTAATGATGACCATAAGAACAACCGCGCATATTTTTTCCCTTGCTGTTTAGTATGGACTCCACTACCTTTTATAAGGTTCCGTTGCACTAATTTAAATTTTACTGCCTTTACTTAGAAGCTTATTTGTAGTTATATACTTCCTTTCATAAACCATATGGGAGTAGTTGATAGCATTGGTACTATTAGAGATTTCGCCGGCTCCTACGAAGTCAACGTGTGCATATATGGTTTAAAAAAATTTAACCATACGACAAATGCTTGTTAGTGTTTTTAGGAGGGAAAGTTGGCTTTTGGAAGAGTCACTCGTTATTATCAGCTCGACTGCGCACTTAGTCAATCCAAATATTATTCTTTCGACGATGCAATAATTTATGCCTCAAAAGAATACTGCAAACGAGAGGTTTTACTAAATAATAAATATTAGTATTACTGCACAAAAGAGTTATCAAAAGAAGCACAGGATTTGGAAGGACAACTGTCACTCTTACGTTGCTTACTGCTTAAATTTGATGGAGTACTGCGGGAAAACTGACTGGAACATGCTAACCTTAGCTTCCCTAATGTTTTTTAAAGGGCGCTATTACGGGTATACCTTGAACGCTAAAGAATATTTATAATACTTATCTATTTCTTTATCACAGAAAAAAAGGCTTTTTATACACGTGGGGGCCATTTTCTCTAATACTTTGCATACTTTTTTACTTTCTGCTGTTATAATAAAGTATGACTCTTAACCACTTGTTAGCTCATATACTCTGAAGTGTACTCGAATGAATAAACTGCAGATCGTTTACTATAGACCGGCAAAACTTGGACCTTTAAGGGTTAAAGAAAAAAAGTTGCAATAACTACTTATATGTTTTATGCATCTAAGCGCCTTAATAAGTTAGTGGCTTTATTTTAAATTAAACTCATAAGCATACTTTCTAACTCTCCTTTTCCGTAATAGCATTAGAAAAATTTATACATTAAGTTTACAGTGAGATAACGTCTAAAATTTTACACAAAGCACAGCTGACAATAAAGATTATTACGTAAAAAGTTATATTTAACTTGATACAACCCACTTTATAAAATACATTATGTTATCTTATTTTGCCTCTTCTTTTTTTCCTCTAATTTTTCGTCTATAATTTTTTGCATGCCTTCTTTGTCAAAAGGAATTTTCTTTAAAAAAAAGCGTTAGAAACGTTTTATAGTGCATAATAAATATGTAGCTTATACGTAAGTGTTTTCTGTAGAAAGAACTTCCTGAAATAAAAGTATGTTAGAATAAAAGTTGAAATAACGTTAAAAATTTATCAAAATATATAACCTTTGCCCACAATTTCGCTTTATTTGCAAAGCTTGGCGAGCCAGCATAGTATAAACTAAATATCGGAAATGCACAGAGAAGAGCAAACTTAAGGTAACGGTAATATCATTAGAAGGTAATTAATAGCATATCATAGTATGCAACCTTAAAAAGCTCAAGGTTGATTCTTTTATAAAAGTTCATTGCTTAAGGGACAAAGTACCACTACGGTACTTAGCAATAACCCTCATCAAAATTTGAATTCCACTGTCGCATATCCTTCTTTAGCTAAACCTTTTTTGGGCAAAGCTACAAGAATTTTTTAGCGATGATTACGTAAAACTACCTTCATTATACAATTCACTTGCTTCATCTTAACTTTTCCTTGATTATTTTTTTTTAATCAATTTTATTATTTGCCAACTAATAAATATTTTTCACTTCAAGGGTTAAAATTTATATTTTATCTGTATTAGGGTAGGGTGGAGTACGACTTATTCTAGTTTTCTTATATATACATGAGCTATTTTTTTAATATGGCACATAAACATATAGTGAAATTTAAACGGTTTTTGCAACTTGACTGTATGCTTTTAGAGACTTTATTATTGAAAATTCTGCAATTAGAGCATTAGAAATAGTAAATTTAGTAAGTTACAGCAACACTTTAAATTTTTGGGTGCAGTGGAAGTATTAAACTTAATTAAATGGAAATATTTATTTATAATGATAGTGTTTGAGGAACGTACCGCTCATATATAGTATATACCAGTAACAATACTCTTCTAACAGTACTACTACCAAACCACTACCGCTAGCACATCCTACCATCCTAGCAATAAGTACTATAGCCAACTTTCACCAACCACAGAGTTCCTACTACTAGTATATAGAGCAGCACTAGCAGCCTAAAAAATACAACCGCACTACATATTGACTAGAAGAACCTTCTTTAGTCAACTTAAATCAATTTTTGTTAATCAAAGAGCACTTCTAATTTATACATAGTACAATTCGATCATACTAGTACAGAAGTAGTATTGTTACTACTATATACTTTGTACGGAAGTACACACTACTTCAATGTCATGGTCCTTAATCTTTTAACTTTTCTGTAGCAGGTATCTATGAAACGATGCAAAGAGTATTACCTAATAATACTCAAACTAGCAACTCTCAAAATGGTTTCACCCACATCGCTTCGTAACATTAGGTGTCAAGTTTAATTATAGAGCCAAACTTTATTCAAACATTCACAATCTACGTCAGATGCTTTCGTCCACAACTAATCGCTTAGGAACGCAGGTATTACTAGTACTTAACCTTCAATTTGTCAGATCGAAGACTCAACCCACCTTAAGTAGAAAAGCGCATGAAGCAATAGGTAGACAGTACAGCTAGTATAGCAACGCCGTGTGCTTTTACTTGACTACCAAAAATCTAACTATCAGCTCAGGTGTCGAACTTTAACTTTATCTCTAGCTAGCATGATTGTACAAGCTACTGAACAGCTCACAGGGTATAAAGTACCTGCCAAAGATCTTTTGTGGTTCAAATGTTTCACCAATTTTAAAAACAAATCTTTCCATTCGCAGGTCTTACTTAGCGCTCTTCTTGGTCAAGTTGTGTTCTTGTTACTATTTTCCCTAGCTAGGCAACCATATTCCGAAGTGAATAGATCATTAATCCAGAGCGAATACCTTAGGTTTACTTTGTATAATTTCAACTAAAGTCAATTAATCCATCAAATCCCAGAAGATTACTAAACATAACAAGGACATTTCGTAACTACATCATACACTAAATTTAACCTAAGGGTGGATTTGCTAAGTGAACCTAGATTATGTTCGAAATTTTAATAGAGCACCAATCTTTTTGGACGCTTTACGGATTATCCTGGGGACTTACCATGAATTCTTACTTAATCAAGAGCGTACAGCATTGCCGGAAAGCTGCAAAATATAGCTAACAGTCAGGTCTCTCACTACGAGCCTAGCTACCAATGTTTAAGTACTACGATAATTACCTAACTTCAAATCATGACCGCATAATAGCATAGATCGCAATAACCGCACAGGCAATGGAGGTTTTCGCGAAAGAAACCGCGAGGCGGTTTAGCATCTCCTATACGAGTTTTTGTGGAGCTTAATACTTCATAAATGTCAAAAAATATGTAGAAAGAGTATTAATAGCCAGTTAAAGTTAGTACTTTTCTGTGGCTTTTTCTTCTGGCTCGCAGCACTACCGAGAAATTAACGGAGGAATATTTGCCTAAAACCTCAACATTATGTGACCTTCTGGAAAAATAGAGCTCCAAAGCACTAATCCTTAGAAGCTAATTACTATAGTATAATCATGCAAAGGAACAAGTCGATCGTGATTACGGTACTCAGTCATTGCAGCCGTACCCTTAACAGTCAAACTCAAATTCAAATTAGATTAGTAAGTTTTTTCGGTACGTTTTCAAGATGTCTGGTTCGAGTTTATAAGGAATAATACCCTTTCAGTAGTTTTCGGTTGTTCTCTACTCCCCTAGATAAATGTATAAGTTATCACTAAAAAGACAAGGTTAGTGATGCACTTTGAGTTCGTGCCAAAGTATTTTCTCGTATCACTCATGATTTGAATAGAGGTTAACCGGAGCTTACATTCGCAACTTTACTGAAGCCAACTTGTTTTCGTCTTAGCCCTCTCAAAGTGAAAATGTAACCTTACATCCAGCCTGTGAAGTCAATAGGATTATAACAACTTAGCAATAGATTTCACCAAGTACGATTGATAAGATTAATAAATGATGGCTCCTGATTAAGTTGACTAGTTGCTGCTGAAGACATACAGGTAAGCATTAAAAATAAGATTGATACAACGATTCCATGTACTGAGTGGTCCCAAGATAATACTATTATAATTCTACACCAATTTTACCATAGAATGTGAGGTAAGCGCTATTTTATTAGTCAATTCAGGAATAATTAGCAAGTTAGCCAACTGAATGGTACACAACCAAAGTTGTTCAAGTATACAAGTATAGAACATAAACCGTTCCCAACTAGGTTAAACGAAGTCACATCTAGGTAATAATTGATGTTTTGCGAAGCTTAATTATTAAAAAAAGAACCCCTTTAGAGGTGTAAACACTGTTATCTTACCAGTAACCTTGATTATTTATAGTGTGGTTACCCAGTTATCAGAATCATAATTCTTTCGTTTTAGTTTTGCTTCAGTAGTGAAAATTCACCCGATTTGTTAATTATTTAGGCCGAGAAAATTAGACCGTGCTAATGGTGTCTCTGTGGTTATTACTCCGTGCCCTTGAGAATATAATAAAAGTTCAGTCAATTAGACAAACTTTAGTACAATGTACGCCAGAACCCCAGAGCCAAAGAACTATTATTTAGATGCTATATTTATCTCGTGCTAAGACACCTCTTATTTATAAGTTGGACACAATAAAGGCAAAACCCAAGCTCAGCCATACAAGTGTTCAGACATTTTTTTTAGCTGGAAAGCGAAAGGTAAGGTGAACAAGTAAAAGTATTGTTTGTTTATGTTGCTTTACTTTTTGTGTAATTTATACGTAGAACTTAACTTCTTAGTCTAGCAAGCTTCTTGTACAGGTGGTTTAGTTGCTCTTTTTATTGCATTCCAAGCCTTTCTCCAGATTCAGGCTTATCTTTGGTTACCAAGTATTTTTCACTACTTTCTTCATTACATCATTTTCTAAGCTATGTTAAATTTGACGGAGTAGGTTAGAAGACCAGTAGTTTTCCAGCTACAAGTACTAATGACAGGTGGGCCCCTTTGCTCGTTCACCTCATTGGTTAGTTAATTTACCAAGCTTTCTCGGGTAACCTCATAACAAGCTAAACCAGTGCAAAGTACTTACTCAAGCCCGGTTTAAAATAATTCATCAAGTTTCCTAAGGCTTTTACTAAGGCTATGAAATAATGTCGGTCTTTGTAAAAGCAGGAAACCTAAGTCCTCGATATAAAAATTCAAGAGTAGGCCCCTATTACAAAAATGCGTGTAGGGTTAGTAAAGTTAATTCCCGAATCCACGTTAAAAACCCAAAAAGAACCTCAGGCTTGACAAGGATGTATAACTGCTTACGCACGGTCCAATAATAAACCCTTTTCTGTAGCTAGTAAGATTAATTGTTTACCTAGGATTATGCATAACTTTGTTACCGTAGACAATACCGGTGATAAATCACTACCCGATAAGGTGTTAAATTTTTCATTCTTAAGCTAAATTTAAGAGATAACTCAGTCTCATGCTTCTTTTTTCAACCTTTGTTACCTTTTTAGATAGAAACGTAGTACTCAAGGCGCTCAACTTAGATAATTCATTGTTAGTGAAAAGAGTTGTTCACTAATTTAAGGTTTTATTTAGGTTACATGGTTGGTTCTGCTAAACTAGAATTGTTGATAAATCAAAACTTAGGTCGGACTTTGGTCAGTTATCTATTTGACTGGGTTAAAGTATTTGGATTTAAAGTTAGTTTGTAACCTTCCTATCGCTATGTACTAAAAAATCAAGCGGGATTCAATGCTAGACCTCGATCTCTCTGTTTATATTGTAAAGGCAGATGATGCTATTCCAGCCCTACCATTTGTGAAATCGTAAGAGACCGAGAACGGGAAAGTTTCTATCTCAAGGCTAAAAGTTCTACTTTGGTAGAACAAAACAAACACTCTAGGATTGCTAAGTAGCTTGTTCTACCATAATGGAACGAAAGGTTTTTTTTTACAGTAAAGCTCGCCTTTGTTTATTACATTGAAAATTAAAGGAATGGACTAAAATTTTGTTTTGTTTTTGCTCCTAATCTTATAATAACCACATACACTTTACATACAGATCCTAATAAAGAGATTCGAGGTGCTATTAGTGTTGATTTTAGTGCACTGATGCTATCTACTCTAGTGACCGAAGTATAATGTAGATTTTTCAGTACAAAAATTTGTACAAAAATTATACGTAATGTTAATCTCACTATCCCAGCGACGCTACTCAACGCGCAACCACGCGATAGAAGAAAAAGATTTCTTTTTACCGCGCCACTGACTAGCTTATATATATAATTTTACAGCATAGCCCTCACTAAGTTATATACCCTTACTAACTACCGAAAAAATTAAATCGAGTATTGCCAGACACCTCTCCTCTCGAGTCCTTAACTACTAGTAACTGCAACTTTGCCCGGACATTGCCACCGCTAACTTGGTGAGACGTGCATGCCTCTCCATGTATTCTTAAAGGCTCAGTAAACCAGTGATGACGCCCTCGTAAAGTTCCAATTTAGATTCCAGCAATGACGTTAAACGGCCAGCTTAGTCTTAGTTCGTCCAATGAACATTCAAGGTCTCAACTTCATAACAATAACTGGGGGGCGCCTCCTGAGTGTTTCTTAGACTTTAATATTCGGCATACCTGCTTAACAGGCTGCACTTCTAGCCGCCCGCGTGACTTTGAAGACAAACAGGTCATACCGGAACGGTCACGCGCTACCGCTATCTCATCACCACCCTTTTCTTGCATGCAAGTTGCACTATTACTAGACCATATACATTGGCGACTGCAGCTTTATCCCAATGCGCTTACTGACTAACGCCATCAGCAGTACCTACTATCAAGTTGGCTATTTTAATTCTTTAAAACCAACGTGCTACCACCGTCATTGCCTATTAACTACGAGGAAATGCTGATGTACCTAGGAGTTATCGATTTTAAGCTGTCGAGTGGCCGTCCGCGATTTACGTGGTGGCGGAAAGGTTGAGTATCATTTTATTCATGGTTTGGGCGTATGAATTCGTTGTTGCTAGTAATGATACGAGCGGAACGACGCTTTGCACTGCTACCTCGGGAAAGAACCGCTGTTAACTTTCTTTAAATGCAAAGTTATTTTCTTCACTAGCAAGTCATGAGTACGAGAATTGTCTTTTAGGAGAGGACCTAATTTATGGGCGATATGAGCCGTGGAGCAGCGTGTGATACTGCGTCTGTAAGACGCTTTGCGTGCGATCGTTGTTCATTCACTGCACGTCTGCAATTCTAGTTTAAGGGTGGTGATTATCGGGGGGTGGGGCAGAAAGCAAGAATTCTAAATAATTACTTGTAAGCGGCTAATCAAAAGGGAGTTAACAACCGTACAAGAGATTAAGACACCCAGACTTCAAAAATACTATAGTATGCAAAATAAGCGTGGAGGGTAAAAAGTGGCATCGAGATCAACAAAAATAAATAGCAATTCAGAGAAAACTAAGATAATTAAACAACCATGTCCTAAAAAACCGTGTAAGCAAAAATTTACCTTAATTAAAGTTGGTTTTATACCGACCTATTTTCTTTCAAAGCCAAAATCCTAGTGCAAACCCCTAGAACAAGTTTTATATCCGTTTGTTGCTAGTATTTCAAATCGCTTGGTGAGGAACTAATTAACTAGTTAATATACCATTTAGTTAAAGCTTCTAAACTTTGATTTAGTACTAGTAAAGAACTTAACTAGAACTCCTGAAAGAACGCATATATTAAGTGTTTTTAAAGAAGAGAGGGTCCATTGAAAGTTTTTAATTGTCTGTAGCTATAGGTGACAAATCAGGTGGTAGGACTTATCCGATAGCACTTATAGTTCCAAACCTTTTCCACTTTCATAAATAAATCTATAGGAGGTAGTGCTATCCAAGTACAACTTACAAAGTATATTATAAAACAGACTATTCCTTTTTTAAAAAAACTAATATAGAACAAGGAGCAGCATACAAAAACGATTGTGATAATGTAAATGAATAAAAAGTAAAATTTTTGTAAAAAAAAAAGATCAACTCCTCCATGGACTAAAAGCTAGGCCTCAGTTAGGACTCTATAAACCGTAGCATCCGCAAAAGTGAATTATTTAAATGCTAGAGCAGGTATTTAATTTTTTTTGCAACCGTGCTATCTACGTATAATGAAATTGTTATAATTGTAAAAACTTTACAGAAAAAAGGTACGGCTTAAGTGGAGTGTATGCGTGTCCAAAGCAATAGAACTCACCAAATACAAATTACGTCCACTCACTGGGCTTGTAGAATACGGTTAACAAGTGCTTTTAAATTGATAATAGGTTTTATGTATTAAAGCTACCAAAAAACTCATGTTGCACTAGACGTAGATTTAATAAGATTTTTATTAATAATATTCAATTCTTACTTATTCTTGTAAAGTTGTTAAATAAGTTTCTTACAAATTTTTTTTTTTTAGATAATTAACAGCAGTATTACCTTATTAACTAAAATTCCGTGTTTATTACATATCTACCCAGCAGAAGACTTTTTTACTATTAATAAAACGGTTCAAACAGTCTTTTCTGTCCGTAAATGTTCGATAAACAGTTCCTAAAGTTTTCAGGTTAGATTTAATCGCTTCAGCGTACATATTTTTAAAACTAACATAGTAACTTAACATAAACTCAAAGATTTCTAGCGTCTATTATATAAATATTTTCCTAAATTCAACTCGATCTTAACTTCAAAAAATAATCAATTTACTTACCGCCAATAAACAAGCCCCCAAAAGTGCAGAACCCTACAATAATAAAGGGTTATTAAACACGATTTCATTTCCTTTAGCCTACACACGAAGGGACAATCCATCTGTGGATGGCACCGTAGTAAAAATTCTCTGTATGCTAGGTACCAGAAGACATCGAGAATAATCAACGCAGCAGTCGCTTACGGAAAATCAGTCCGTCAGTCAAGACAAGCAATTATACTCAATTTTCGTACGTTCTTTGTTGATAAAGTCTAAAGGCATAAACTCACTTTCTATAAATAAATTCAAAAAGAACTTAAATATACCGATATCTATATAGACAATTAAATTTTGAGTATGTTAAAGTTTAATTAAATATAATATTTTACTCTAAAGACGGTCCCCACGAGTTGTGCTTAGATAAAAACCTAGTTCTTTAGACAAGTAAAACACCTAGAGTAAAACAAAAAATTAGGAAATAATATAAACAATAATAATATATTAACAACAAATTTATTATTAAATAGGCTTCATTTTAGAGTATAATCAATTCAAGCAAAGAATATATACAAAAAGTGAACACCACTAATTATATTATTTAACTTGAATCATACAAATGCCTCGTTACTTAAATCACAAGCCAACATTACAAATATGCATCTACCGACAAACGAACAAAATAGATACCATAAACAAAAGCGGAGTAGAACAAATTTAACACGCAAGCATAGATCCGAAAAAAATTGAAGTTGCGTATAAAAAAACTTAGAAAACACGTGCGCGTTAAACTTCACATGTTACAACTTTAGTTTATAACGCACAGAATCACGGAGGGGCCCACGTTCAGCCAAGAATACCAGCCAGTGCTTAGAGTTCCGGCACCTTTTTTTTTAACGTGACACGCCAAGAGGAACTTTTATAATGAGGCTACACCTTTGCATAGCAGCTAAGGAATAGGTTTTTAGAAAAGTTTAGTATTATAGGTGAAGGGGTCGAACAGCCATAGTTTATCAAATTTTTTGGTCTTAGTGGGAAGTGTTATAGTGGAGAGCGCCATAATAATATAAACGTCTAAGGAATAGGCTATTTAGTATTGCTTTAAAAAAGCTTTTTTAGTTAAACAATTAAGTGCTTTTAGCTGTCAATCTTAAATATTGTGAACAACGTAGGTATATAGTAAACTCTAACTTAATATGAGCGCTTAACTTTCGTTACGTCCTAGGAGGGGAGTGTAGCTGTTACATTTTATAAAGGTTTGGAAGGCTTATTAGATAAAAAGCTGGTAATTAGGAACTTGACAACTTTTTTTAAATTATTTAGGAAGGGAACATGGCGACCCTAGTTAAGTTCTTAATCATATATGTAACTGTTTGTCCGCAAGGTTAAAACTGTTTTTAAAAATAATTTTTCTGCGTCTTTTTCTGCTTTGCGAAGAATAATATTGTGTTAATATTTATTAATATTTTCAAGTTATAATTTGTCTAGATGCAAGTATGACCAGTTTAGTGGTTTTATAGAGTTAGTATCTAAATTTTATAAACTCTAAACAAGTAATATTTACGATTATTGATCAAATTAATTATCTTTTGTATATATTTTATACTAATATAATACTTTAAAGCGGGGTAAAATAACAAAGCCCTATAAGCAGGAAACCTCTTTTATATGTTACATACACTAAACTTTTGTTAAACTTACTCGATCTGTAAAATATTTAAGTTGGTATTCATGCTGTCAAAGAGCTACAAAACCATGGCTAATGATAAAATTGAAAAAAACCTTCAATCCCCAATCTTATGATTTTGTTACATAAGGGTTAACGCACTTTTTAAGGCAGTCGGGATAGAGCTATTTAAACTCGGTGGCTTACTGGAGGAAATTTCTCCCCTTTTACTGGGCCTTCACTTTTCTAGCAAGAATTGACTAAGACTAACAGAAATTACGCCTTAACCTTCACACTCAAAAGGTCTTATATTTAACTGAAATCAGTGTTGTCTTTTTACTTGCTATTAGCGAGAATGAACCAATTAAGAAAAATTTTTAAACCCAAGGGATTTTCACGGACATACATTAAAGGCGCAGCAAGTGCAATAGGTGGTGAAGGAAGAAATAAATAAAAGTTTTAGTATATAAACTTTGCGAAGTATATGCATAATCCATGACACAGTCCCGTCGTTAAACCTTATCGACAAAAATAATTTAAAGGGCCTTTCACTAAGAGCGGCCGAGCGTAAAAAGTTAAAAAGCTTAGAGACTGTTTTAAAGTCTTAAAAAAAAAGTTAAAAGAAATAAAATGGAAACAAAAAAAACCTTTTATTGTAATACAGATAACTTTTGCTATAATTAAATTTCTTAATATTTACTTAGTAAAAATTATCTTTAATCCTTCTAATATAACCTATAAATAAAATCTCAACAACTAAGATCTAGAAATGTTACTTATACCATCGTTCTACAGTAAAATAAAATCAAAGGTGCCCCCTGATAACTGCGCTCATATACTCCCAACTAAAAACTGTATAAAAATTTTGAGTGAACACTTTATTAACTTAAAAGTTTATAAAAACGCTTCACAGCAGTTTTAAAGCTACACAATCACAGATAAAAAACATGTAACCAAATGTTAAAGATAACTAAGCGCAGAGCGCACCTTCAGCTTGAAGGAGTGTACCAGATTTTTCAATCCTCGTGGAGATAAGAGGGGTATATGGTCATATGAAAATTTCGCATGGCAAATGTCAATGTGTGGTTTGGGCCTGTGCTTATGCCCAGCGGCTGTTGCTTCGTCTTGGTTTAAGTTTTATTTAGATGAAAAGCTGGAAGCCGAAAGTCACTTAAATTTTAAAAACAGGGGTCTTCTATAATTTATTATATGTTTTAAATAAAGGCTTAACGCTTTACGTTATTAATAGGACCGGATTACTACTCTGTAAAAACAGTAGAGTTGACTCAGCAAAATTTGTCCCTTTTATTACAAAGTAGTGTTTTAAATCTTCGAGGCAACTTGACCTATCAGCCTACAAGTGATGAGAGAGGAGGTTTTTTATTGTGGAATGGAGAAGTTTTCGACGGTTTGGAGGTAAGTATGCCAGATATTTATTTTTAAAACTTTTGCCTTTCATATGAATACTAGATCTTAAACGAAAATGATACTTCAATTATTTCAAGAAATCTTGCGGCTTGTACTGATATCCAAGAAATCTTGAATGTTTTGGCCTCTATAAGAGGCCCTTGGGCCTTTATATATTATTCTAAAATTCTTAATACTATATATTTTGGGAGAGACGTTTTAGGTAGACGTAGCCTTCTTTGGCATATCCCTAAAAGCGGTATTTATAACTCTATATTGCATTATTTTTTATGATATTTAATTCTACTTACAAAGAAACGGATGCCTTTGTTTTAACATCCGTTACAGAGAAGCCTGTTGTTTTTAACGAGACTTGTGTATGGCAGGAAGTTCCGGCGAATGGAGTGTATTATATAAATTTTACAAACGTTACTTGGGATCCTGGTTAAATTTTTATAAGACTAAACTAAGTCGTCACTATTTAATTTAAGTATTACCAGTGCAGACCATATTTAAATACCCTCTTAACCTGGTAAAATGGCAAAAACCAGGAAAAGTATCTTTTGAAATCATGTCTTTCCTCCCCTCTTGGCACGCCCTTCAACACCCAAGTGGACTTTTGCTTTACACCAAAGCCTATTTCCGACTTTCACGATTGTCAAATCGCGATTGTTAATAATTCTCAAATGGAACCTTTTGAAAATTTAGTTGAAAGTTTTCTTCGTTATCTTTCCCAGTCTGGTTGCCGTTTGCGTTTCTAGCTTGTTTAATTACTTCCATATATCTTTGCTATCCTTTAGTTAAACGGAGAGTGTTTCCGTTACCTGCGAAATTTTCCCGAGTTGCCATCCTTTTTTCTGGTGGCGTTGACTCCATGATGATAGCAGCCCACGCAACGGCCCACATCCCCTCCAACGAGCCCATTGACTTAATAAACGTGGCTTTTACGTTAGACTCAGAAAGTTTTCATTATATAAACATTTATTGCTCCGGTGTAATACTTTTATTAGTAGATATAAATAACTCCAACGTTCCGGATCGGGTTACTGGGCGAAAGGGAGTTCAGGAGCTGGCTGCTTTGTACCCTGAGCGCACTTGGAATTTTATAGAAGTAGACGTTACCTTAACGGAGCTTTATCTTCATAAGGAGCACATAAAAACTTTGTGTACGCCGCTCTCCTCTGTTATGGATTTAAGTATAGGTAGTAGAGTAAAGTGTTTAAGTAAGTTGTCCTAGAAGTTTTCTCCAAGCAAGCGCGCTCTGGTTCGCGTCTCGGGGTATTGGCAAACTCCGTCGATACACCAGTGACATACTCTCTACAAGCGAAAATTACGAGACGCCCGCTCGCATTCTTCTGGTAGGAATCGGTATCTTTTATGAGTACATCTATAAAAAAAGGATACTATTTCATCCTAACAGGCGCCGACGAACAGCTCGGAGGTTATAGAAAACACAGGATGGTCTTCCATAAGGGGGGATGGGAAGCCCTTGCGGAAGAGCTTCAACGTGGCATCCAGGCCATCTCCTACAGAAACCTCGGGCGGGACGACCGAGTGATCGGAGACCACGGAAGAGAAGCGCGCTTTCCTTTTTTAGACGAGGACCTTGTCAATTTCCTTTCTTCCGTGCCTGTGTGGCTCAAGGCGGATTTGCGCTACCCCCGCGGGCTAGGTCAAAAAGCAATACACACACGACTATACTTTACTAGGAACGTCTTTTTGTAAAGGGGAAAAGTACTTGCTTCGGAAGGCTGCTTGGAAAGTTGGTATGAAAAACTCTGCTTTTATGGAAAAAAGGGCTATTCAATTTGGCTCGCGGGTTGCGCATTTAGAGAAGTTTATGGGAAAAAAGCTCAAAAATTTACTCTAATACTATGCACCACTTTTACTTGCAAAAAACATACGCAATAAAAAGTGTAACGTGATTTTATTCGCACTAAAGCGCACTTAATAAATATGCTATTAACAAGTAAATCCTTAAGTAGTCTGTAACAGTAAGTCGACTCTTTACTGTTGCTTGCACTCGGTTGACTAAAAAGTTAGTTTAGTCATTATTGTATTTCATATTGAAGATTAAAAAAAATACAGATTTTTCTGAATTATTTTCATGGCCGTCGGTTTCATAGTTCTCCTCTTCCTCCTCCTCCTCCTCTTCCTCTTCCTCTTCCTCTCCTTCCTCATCTTCATAGTCGTCATCATCATCGTCATCATCCTCTTCGGAACTAACGTCTTCACACTGCAAAATAAAACTTAGATAAAATGTTTCAATATAACCCTTTTAACAAACTAAGTCATGCCTCTGAATTTTCTCCAGTAAAAAAAGTAATGGAGTAAGGGATTATTTTATCTTTTAGTAGTAGGCCAACTTCATAGTCGTACGAGAGCATTTCTAAAAAATATTTGTCAATTGCGTTGACACTGCTGCTGCTGGAGACTACGAAATAATTATAATAATAATAATAATAATATAAGATTGTATACTTTGAAAAAATTCAAAGAAGGATGGGAGAGTCTCCTTCACCAGTCGGCCCTGTTTCAAGGCAACGGATCTGTTCTTAACTATAGTCCCCGAGCTTTTTACCGGAATTCGAACATTCTTTCCAGGTTTCCAGTTAATTTTGCAACTGAATTCAGAAAAAATCTAAAAATTAATAAAAATATAAACTTATTAAACTTGCCCTTCAGTGGAATCGTAAAGGGGCTCGCCCGTCTCATGAAATCCATCTGCCCAGAAATATGTTTTCACCAAAACCGTGTTCGTAAAGAAATTATTTTCATTAAAATAAAACTCAATCACAAATCCTTTATTCAAAACAGAAATATTAGAATTTTTCTAAAGAGGTCAGGGTCAAGTAAAATTTTACGCTACAACACTATGCAATCTATGCAAAAATATAAATTAATTAAGCAAGACCACGTCCTTCAACCAAAAGTTTACACCGAATATCGTAGCATTCCCCCAAAATTGGTTCGTCGTACGTCTCAATAAGAAACGCATTAGAATTTTTAAGAACTGTTAACCAGTAATTCGGGATCCCCTTGATTACATTACCATCTTGAAGTGGAAAATGCAAATTTTTTAATAAATATTAATAATTAATTATTATAAATAAGTTAATTAAAACCAAAGCCAAAACTTGAAAATTTTGTAAGTAAATCAGCGTGCTCGCCTTTAACTACGTTATTCGGACTCTCTTCTTTATTATTATTACCAGAATCGTTCAACACAACTTCAGCACCTTGAGGTTCATATTTTCCTGTAACAATGTCTGAAATCTTGATTTTATACTGATATTATCTATAAACTTATAACACACGAATATAAAAATCACTTTATCCCAAAAAGGCTGATAAAGTTCGTAATACTTAGCAGCAATAGACATGGTCTCTTTAAAAAACTGTTTCCGAAGCTTACTAGTCTCATGCTAAAATTAGGAGAGTAGTATTTAAGAGCAAACTTATTTTAATAAAAACTATAAAAAAATTACGTTTAACTTTTTTAAAGCTGCTATCCTTCTTTGAATATCAAGATATGTATTCTGGCCACTATTTAACTCTCCATTAGATGTTTGATGCATACTTTACTTTATTCTAAAAAAACAATTAAGATAAATACTAAATAGTGAAATAGTAGCACCGACTAAAAACTTCTAGTGTTGATAAATAATTCAGATAAAATTAAAAAAAACCAATATTAATAATAGTGCAAGTTAAATTAAGACTAATTTCATTTTTGTTTAACTAAAACTAAATACATTAAAATTCATAAATTTGTAATTATAAAAATATTTCTTCATATACTTACTTTAAAGTATTAAGAAATGGGCAATAATAAAATAGAAAACAGTTCTAAAATCACCCACCTTGCAACCAACCACTTGTAAAAACTTTAAACAGCACGTGCTCAATGAGGCACGTGCATTCAGTGAACTGCACTTTTTTCACCACATTTTTTTTAAAAAGCAATTCAACCCGTTCGATCTGAAAGGCAAATCTCTAGGTACTTGCTTGTACTATGGCGGGTAACCCTGAGGCTAACTACGTACTTCCTCCAGGAAACGGGACAGTGGTGCCCCTCCTGGAGATGTACAGACTAATCGGTCTGCGCTCGGCTTACTGAGCATCCGCGAAAGTTAAAAAAATAGTTGTTGGGATGTGGCCTGGGCACTTTTACTTTTACTAGGATTTGCTATAAATTTTCGTTTATTCGCATAGTTATCAATACCTCTACTTTTTACCAAGGGACTGCTATATATACTAGTTATTTATTTTTAAAACTCTGGCCAACAGAAGCAGAACATCTCTAGGACAGATTCCTTAAATCGGAACTTTTTGTAACCGGGACGTGCACCTCCGAGTTTGTGAAAAAACTAATTACCTCGGTCGAGGAATTAAAGAAACAACTTAAAAGTTCACAAACAAAAATAGATAGGCTTTTCAGGAAATAGACACCTATGAAAGTTTTTAGTTAATACTTTTGGGAGAAGAAAAACCATTAAATCTCCCAATAAGCCGGTACGCTAGTACTTGCCTACGATTACCCATGAAATACTGGAAGACGGCGTAAATATGGGCTGCAATACCATGAGACCAATGTTAACAGGTACCAATAGTGACCGAAAAAATAGCACGTATAATAAGAAAAACACAAGCACTGACGACAGTAATATTAGTTATTATAATAACATCAATAACATTGTTAATAATCAGTTTTATAACTCCGAAACATTCTTAGAATTTGCAGATTTTTTATCCGTACTTAAAAAAATTCCAAGGGGATGCCGGGCCCGAAACCACTGGTTTAGAGTAACTACTTACTTTTTTTTTACTCTCTTAATAAAAAAAAGAAACAAAGCGCACAAAGGTGGGTTCGAAGTTTAATTAACAAAAGTGTGAATTTATTTGGCATAATAGGCTATTATTAATAACAAGTGTCAGACGATACTGAACAGAACACGTTGGTGTTATGAGTCATAAGCATGTCATAGGGAAAAAAACATTTATAATCACGAATGAAAAGATCTTAACTCCTTTTGTGGGAATTTCTGCAAAATTCATGAATAAAATAATAAAAGATTACAACTTTATTTTCAATACCCCAAAGTGCGGAGCTTGTTTGCCTTTTCTATAACTTCATCTTTGTTAGAAATTTGCAGCTAAGACTTACCTTAAAAGAGACCCACATATATAAATGATAGACTCAAGCTACATTTTATACATTCTATGGATATTGTGACACTATTTAAAAACCAAGTCTGTATTAGTTTTAATCAATAGATACTTTTGTCAAATCTGGGCTAAAGATTTGGTAAGAGCGGCAACAGGCGAGATACCAGAACTACCAGAAACCATCTGTAAAATGCAAAAACCCATAGAAGTGATAAGGGGTGTAAACTCTGTATTTTTTTGTACTAAAATGAAGAAATTTAATAAGGATTATACTGTTAAGATCATGCATTTACAATAGACCGCCATTAAAGTAATGGGATGGCGGAAGCTGCTATTTAAACCATAGAAAAAGCCTTAGCAAAAAGGATGCTTTGAAGGGCACATCGAATGGGATAAAATATTAGATAATTATGTCTACTGTTACAACAGATTGCCCATCGTTTGGGAGCCTCGCTCACTTTTGGGCTCTTTAATACTTCATTTGACTACTCCAGTTTTACCAGAGATAGTAGTACTTATACAAAGAGCAGTACTAAAAGCACCATTTTGAATAAAATACTGGCTCGTGATATTAACTACGGCGCTACGATAGTTAGAGGGTATGCGAACTAAGAATGAAAGAGCACTATGATAGGTAGTGAAGGCTTTATTATTCATAAAGGTAGGTGATGTAATTTATTTTATAAATAAATTTAAAGGCTGAAGAGAAAATTGGCTAAACACCGGCTCCTCGTTTAGGGAGTTCTAAAAACTGATGGGCTTGAGTTAAAATTTACGGTAACTTAATAAAGCCGCATCAAGCTCATCTAATGAGAGCAACAATCAGCAAATACAGTTCGTTAAATAAGAACTTAGGGAAATAGGGTAATAAAATTTATTTGAGCTAATTATTTCGCATATCAGATATTACTTTTTTGACAAAGAAAGTGTGTTTCAACAAATATTGGTAAGCATGGACGATTATGGCTAGATAGGGTAGTAGTATGCCTCAATTGATTGGCGGTTAAAATTCAAAAGGACTTTAGGCTCAAATCCTTATGAACTGCCTACTGATAATGAACTGTTAGAACATCAAATGTTTTTAAAGAACCACCCTAAAACTTTTAAACTATAAAATCTAATATACTATCCATATGTAAACTTTAAGTAACCATGCTTATCGGAAACAGATACTTTTTAAATTTAGCAGGATTTTTGTTACAAGATATAAGTTCTCGAGGACTCCGGGCCTGTAAAATCAGCAAAAGAGAGACGAAGATAAAAGTACTGTTAACTAGTAAGTACTACTATAAAGACGGTTCCCCCTCTAAGTCAAAGAGTGACAGTTTCTATCAGGTCAGTGGGTTCTTAAATTTTCAACAATACTAACCAAAAAAAATTATTTATTGAGTATACTTCTACGATTTTCAAACAGTACACAAAAAGAGAGTCCCGCTTCAAGAGACCTAAATATTTTCTAGCTCTCCTTTTTCTAATACGGACTTTTAGTGTAAGAGGGGTAAGCTAATGACTGTGACTATTTAAATACATAATTTTACTTACTTGTTCTACTCATAGCCACTGCCTACGAGGGTGCCACATTAGAGATAACATTGCCAAAAAGTTAACGCCCTTCTTCTGGGGAGCAAATATCGTTATTTAAGGCACTGAGTTCTATGCTTTGTACCCATAAAGGTTTATGCGGGACAAAGGCATATACTAAGTGTAACACGTGTCTTTTTCTGGCGGTTTGTTAAGCGATAATAAAAATTGCGTACATCTGCCTTTACCTTCTCTGCTTGGCGGCATTATTGCGACCGAGCTTAAACTTTTTGTCAAGTAGCTCGCTTCCCTCTGTGTAATAAGAACTTCGAGAGTTCATCATAAAAACTTTTTATGCTAGTACTACCATTTATTTATGTAAACTGCTGCAAGGCTTTTTTTAACAGCTGAAACTTAACTAATAAAAATATCAAATATTTTTTGCTGCTTTAACTTTACCTTTTTTAATGTGTCTTTGTAAAAAAAAATTTACTACGAATGTCTCATAAAATTTCTAAGAAAACAGGAGCTATTAAAAGATATTACATTTTTTATTGGAGAAAAAATATTTTGAAAACACATCTTACACAATAGATTTACATAACAAAGAAAGTAGCTTGCTTTATATAAATGCCATTTTTAAACTTTATTATAAGTAAACTTTAATTTAACTCGGGGTTGATTTAGCAGCTGCATCGTCAAGTATTCTTTCTTGTGATTCGAGTTCCCTAATATGACTGAGCATGGTCATCGCGCCCAAGTCTAGATAAAAAAATTCTATAAGAAACTCAATCAAGAAGAAGACTTGGCCTAAACAGCGTACAGAGGTTAACACCATACACACACACATATATATATATATATATAACTTATAAAAAAAGTAGTCACATACACTCGTATTGCCTGCCGAGGGAATTAAGCGATACAGACAAGAGCTCATATATTAGCGGATCCTACAATATTATATATAAAAGTAGCACGCGCCGGTGGCTTCTGGGGAATTAGTCACGTGCCAATGGAGTGTACGCTTCCAAGCTCCCGGCGATATAAATAACGTCTTCATGCAGACGCAGTTGGTACAAAGCCAGTGCCAACTATCGAGTTGCATTTATTATTGCTATTATTGTTATCACTTTAGTCGGTTAAATCTACATGTCTAAGCAGCCAGGGATGCCCAGGATACTCTTGCAAGTGCTCTATGCAACTATATTATTGGGCTTAAAAGTTTATTTAATTTTTCTTAATAAATTAGAATAACCGATTCCTCACTTTTTCAATGGTTAACGTCGAGAACTCTTCAGAAAGTTGAGAAAGAGACGGCCCCCTTTTAACTGGAAAGCACAAGGAAACTATATAACACGCACTTACAAACGCCATTACTTACGTGCAAGCACTGTATTGGCGTTTTGCTTGACAAGGGCGGAATACTTTGAGCAATATTTGATAATAAAAAAAGTATCATAGGAAAAGCACTAAAGTTGCCTTCTCGTGCACCGGCGACGACATAAAAAACTCTTCACCAAAGAAATCTTCTGCAATTTTCCAGCGGCACGATTGGCGGAAGTAATGCTTAGACTAGAAAAGTGAAAACCGGCTTTTAGACAAAAAAGAACCAAGAAAGAAACAAGAATAGTTCCTTTTCAAAGTCGCCTTTGTTGAGACTATACACAGCAAGTCCACGATACAAATCCTTTTTAATATTTTAAAAATATCAGTAAAAGATAACAGGCAGAATTAGACGTGCTTTGCTTACGCTTTTTCCTGATTCTCTTTTGTTTCTTATTACTAGGCAGTGGTTCAGCCCTTCCTTAAAAAGCACACGTGCTTCCTCGGAGCGGTTGAGATGCATAAGCGCCACACTTACATGTGCAAAAGCCAATGATAGGATGCAAAGACTAGGAAAAAAAGGCCAGATACCCCCAGTTATAATAAACGCTAGAGAGAGGAAAGATCTCAACGGAGCGTTTAAAGTACTTAAGAGCCTCCTAAATAAGCGCGTGGCATCAGTTAAGGTGTGCTAATGGCTACAATATGTAGTTCAATAGGACCTGCATCCCTTCATAGTCATCAAGGCTCTGTGCCTTTTTAAATAACTCGTTACCAAAATTAAAGTTGGCTGCAAAACAAACAAACTATTCAATAGTAAGAAAACCGCAACAGATAATAATGAAACCCAAAGCGTTAGTGGGGAGCGTCTGAACAGTCGAGTTCCAAAGATCGATTTCTATTCGTTTACATTATCAGCAAGTTAACGAAAATATTGAAAAAACTCCACCAACAAACCGCTCTTCCAATCATTGTTCCGAACAACCGTCCGCGCGGCAAAAAGCAAAAAGATTGTCGCAACCACGAATTTGTAGAAAAAGTTGGAAGCATTCGGAGCAATTGAGTGTGCATTTCCCTTATTTCGGGGGAGAATTCCGTAAAAGGAAACAAGCATGTGCGCAGAGATATAAGAAAAGCCAATCGAGGGGAGGTACATTATCCGCTCTGTCATAATGATATTACAATTTTATTATAGTATAACATATAAATACTAAAAAATTTATATAACGAACCAGCAATTTCATAGCCGTTCCAAAAAAAAAGATTAGAACATAACGAAAAAGGAACTAGCATCTTTGTTTCAAAAGATATAGATATAAAAAAAATTTTTGAGACAGTATGCACAAGTACAACTTACGATAAAAAGAGAAAAAATAATCCCAACAAAATGTTTGGCTGGTTGATAGCGAGCGTAGAGAGGAATAAGTATAAAAAAGGTAGCATATAAAGCTATAGCTCGTAAGTTTCGAATATCACTCCATCGCGCCACCAGCGGAAACTGTGCGTTGATATTCATATTAACCAATAATACTAGAAGAACCTTGTAAAAAGTTTATACGGAGTTATAACTTCCGCTGCAAACAAGAGTTTTCGGGTATACCAACGAGAAAAAGTGAATTGTATGGAAATAAGGGATGGACAAGGCTGGCAATAATATTTAAATTAATTATAATTATAATTATTAATATTTATTAATAACATTCACCTCTCGTTAGTCTGCTCTCATTCTTTGATATATAATTGTTGTAAAAGTGCGTCTATAATTTTTTTATTTAATAATACATAAAAATAACAATATAAACAATGAACATTCTGGTCCAAACTTCTTCCTGCCAACAGATAGCGTGCATACATAACAGAACAAAATATTGCAAAATTAAGCGACTGATAAGAATAAAATTTGATAATTAAATGAACATGAGAACGAGCAAAGGAAGACCTGGCGAGTCAAAAATGATTTGAAAACCGTCAATTTCGGAATATGAAGGACAACAGAAAGAGAGCCTTTATAACTTCCTATCTTCCTAAACAAATATAAATTTTTTTTTGGCAAACTAACACAATATAATATAAAGTAAAAAGGCTTTAAGATTAAAATCATTAAAATTTCAAAAAAAGTTAAAAGAAACTTTTTTAAAGCGGCCTCCGAAGTAGCAAAAAGGCACGCTAACTCATAAAGGCCAAAAAGAACACAAGATGTGTAGGCGGGTTCCTTTGATAATAGACCACCGATGCTTAACGCCACAGAAATAACTATAAAAGAAAAAAGTAAAAAAGGCGCGTAAAAATGTTGGGTACAAAAAATAGTGAAATAAATGTATAAAAATACCAAACAGTGACCACTGCGTTTTCGCTTTACAATACAATTCAAAACGACCTAAATTTTTGATTTACTTGCTGTAGACTGCTTACGACTAAATTTAGGAAGATACCGACAGCTTTTATAAAGGAAAGTAAAGCCAAGCAGAAAAAGATGCAACCGAGAATCTCTGCTCGACCAACCACGCTAATAAAAAAAAAACTATGAAGTATTCCTTTCTCTATATAAATTTATATTAAAACACCTCGCTACGGCATCACAATGAATTGGATGTGAGGCAAAAATAAGTCCAGAGATTAATGCTATTTCCTGTTGAAAATTATATTTATAATCTCTAATTCCACACTTCAATATTAACTAACTTTTTAAAGTTTATTAAAAAAAATTTACAAGAAAGCAAATATACTCGTTTCTTGAACAATTAATAAGTCTGACTACTCAAGGAAAAAACTTCGAACTAAAATAAACTGTTTTTGTTGGTACTAAGTAAAATTCCAACGCAAGAAAACTTTAAAATGTCATGGCAACTGTAACTTTATTATTAAAAAGTTTCCAACACAAGTGAGCAACAAGGACCGACGAAATCGGGTGAAGAAGAACGTTACCTAAGTAAAAAGGTATATATTTAGAAAATTAAAATAAAAACTCTACATATGCAAACCCATATGAAAACCAGGAGCCCAAACTCCAAATATTAAAACATTCACCCAGTAAGTAAGAATGACTAAAGGCCTATAAGACCTGCCAAAATTTTATAGATTCTCGTTTCACTTATTATTTAAATATACGTACTTATTAGAGTTGAAGTAGTATAAAGGGCGACCCCAAAAATCGTCACTAAAAATTTTTTTTAAAGAAAAGGACTTAAGATCTTGGTTATTGACAACGGCAGCCTAAAATAAAAAAAAATACCTTAATCAATGTTAACTAATATTTTTGTTATATATAAAAAATATTTAAGGTTTAAAATAATAATTAATTGTAGGAATACCACATCGTCGAAAGTAAATTCGTGGAAGGAAGTATTTATAAAGCAGAGAAGGGCAACCAAAAATATGAATATATACTTCTTCCAAAGCCCTTCTAAAACAGTAAAGTTTAAACTAAAAATGAGAAAAAGATTATTTTAACAATTACCAAGTACTTTTATCGATTTGCGGGAACAACAGCTCTTTGTCTTTAATCATATGTAAGAAAATAAAAAAAAGGGAATCACATCGTAAAAACTTACTTTCTTACCAACGGAAAGTTTCAAAGTTTTATTAGCAGTCATGGCCAACAAAAAACCTTGTGTCACTCAGTTTAAGTTTAAACTTGTACTAGCTACGTGCGTGGTGCTTTCTAGGGTACGTCAAAATTATTTTTTACCATCGAGAAACACCATTGGTTGTGAGATGGGAAAAAAAAATTATAAAAAATTTAAAAGCTTGTTGGCCGATTACTACAATTATACTAAATGTTCCCCTACTGCTATCTCTCCGTTATAAACAATTTTTTTTTCAAATTAATTAGATAAAATTATAAGCTTATGGTCTACAGGTGTCATAGTGCCAGTAAAGTAAAATGAAAATAAAGAAAACCAAGACGAGATCCTAAATAAACAGAATCAATAGTTGTCAGAATTAACATATCTAGTTCCTATAGATTATTAATTATAAAAAGATAATTACTAATAAACTGCTATAAAGCTAAAATAAGAAAAAAATAATAATTAAAACCCATTCAATTATTGTAGCCATTTGCTTTTGATTTTTAAACCATGTGGTAAATGGGCTCGTACAGCAGAATAATTTTTTATACTCCTCTCCCTGCTAATACCGTCCAAGTTGTTCGCTAACCCCTTATAGGTTGCTGGTTACTATGTTTACCACGTGTCGTCTACGTTCACTTTGTAAGAGTAGGTTTATGAAAATTGACCCTAAACGACAGGCTCGGTGTCTGAAACAATCCCTGGTAAGTTTGATGCCCTAACGAATTAGGCAGCAACCAACAAAACATTAAAAAGTGGTAAAGAATTTAGTTATCAGTGACGTTAAGTTGAGCATTAGTTGCGCTATCTTTTATGGACAAAAAAGTCCTCCTTCTGGATGTAATAAGTTTATTTTTGGTTAAATGGGTAAGTAGGCACTTGTTTTACTGTTTTGTTTTTAAATATTAATTGAAATTTTTAGAATGAAATTTTGAAAACAAATATTGGACATAAAAGTATAGTTTCAACATAGGAAGTGGTTTCGCAGGAAAAAACAAATTTATTTTAAACTCCAGTTTTGCCAGTTACAGGGTTAAATAAGGACGAAATAAAGCGTTAAAATAACCACCAAATGGTGTCTCGTTAGTCAAGAAAAACTACACTCCCCCTATACTAGTGTATTCTTTAATTGCGTGAGTATAAGCCCAACGGCATTATTAATAAGAAACTGGTAGTTTAACACAAAACTATCATGAAAGAAAATAACCCAACAATTGAATGAAAATTATTATTGTCGATACTCTTTATTATTATCCTCGCTTTATGTAGTAATATACAAACAGGGCTCTGAACAGCTCTGTCAAACCGTTATATATCCACCGTAGGTAGCTTCCCTTTAAAGTTTACATGTAGCATTTAGATAAAATAAATTCTTCAATGAGATCGCCCTACCAACAAACGATTGAATGGGTTATTCGGTATCTTAGTATGCACAAGCATTACAGTAAAAATCATTAAATTGGTATTAATAATTTGGAAGGATAGTGTTGTCAACTGTATTATAGTGGCTAGTAGAAGCAAAGGCTATTATTCAAAAACTTTGTATGGGCCTATGTAACCTAAAATGAATAATTGACTTTATAAATTCCTTCGAATTCTGTTTTAGTGTTGAGCAATTAAATAATTTTTTCTCATTTAAGGGCTCGGTTACACTTTCCCAGGTTGACTTGTTAAATTTTATTTTAATTTGTGAGTTTAAATACCGTTGACGCTTACAGGGTGTCTACGACTATACATTAGCCTTATCTGTTTATAGTGAGTTCGCAAGTAATTATTTTATCTTCTTTTGCCGGTGGATAAGTTAAACTCCTGCTCGGACAAAACAAATTTTGCTATAGTTTTTATAGTATAGTGCTAACGTTGCTTATTTTAAGTTTTGCAGTTCTCAATTATTATTCTAGCTCTTAAGTTCCTTGTTTCCGTCTCCATCTCTACGATCTAGGTCTACATTGGTTTTTACTTTGCTTTAGCTATAATCTTTCTATTTCGTTATCCCAGTTCACACATTTTTTCGCGCTTTCCAATTTCACATAACATTTTAGTCGACTAGGTTATAACATATTGTGTTGCCTTTTAAGGATATAATATCTATAGTATAATGAACTAAACAGAAGTGGTTTTTCAATTAAAAAAAAATTGAGAATCTATAAGAAAGTGAGAATTACATCTTTTTTATTTAAAAAGGATATAGTAATAGATAAGTTCCTCCCCTCAGATTGAGCGTTTGCTTTTATAGTGATGAAAAATCTCACAGGCTGAAATTCCACCGCACCCGGTTCTAATCCGCCACCCTTTAAAAGTAGTTACCTCTTTAAATTAGTAATAATAAATTATAAAATAAATATAATATAATATAGTTAATTTATATAAGGGGTGCCTTAGGGATTGATACCTTAATGGATAATACCTACGCACCCCTTTCTTCTCCCCTTATAATGGGCGTTCACAAAAGTTATGTGAAAAAGTTAAAAAGAGCACCGAAAAAAAAAGGATTGCTTCACAGAATTTTCTAAGTAATTAAAGTTTTTTTAAAGATGAGAAAAAATAAAAGGATATACAAACCATCTAGATTGTGAAAGATCCGGAAAGGCCCAACTCCAAAGGCCTTCTTCTTGCAGATGATTTTTAAAGGTAAGCTGTAGCCCTTTTCCTTACAAAAATAGTCTATACGTGGGTATCAGGTCAAAACGACGCTTTTTCAATCCTATGAAAACGGGCATAAAAACACGCTAAGAGCTCTCTTTCTTCATTTTTTACGATTATGGCTTAGTTAAGCATAAACTATTATTTTATTAACGTAACACTTTTCTTTTCATGAAAAAAGCAGGAGGTGGCAACTCCTCTAGCATTAACAATGAAGAAGGCGAATACAAAAGGACAAGGGTTAATTTATTATAAGTATTTTAGCTGTTTATATAACATTGCAAAAAAGAACAAAGCATTTTCATTTATGTGTATTTGTTTAGATTATGTTATATTTTCCGCTAAACATATTCAATAATTACCATATTTGTAGGAAGTAACCTAACCCCTGCCGAACTTTTTAAGATTGCGTTTAATTAAAAAATATTAGTTTATGATATTTTAAAATGTTAATCATCTAATTAATATTTTTGTGTTGTTAATGTTATCTAGTTGCAATTTTTAATACACTTTTATGAAAATAGTAAGAATACAAGATAAGATAAGTTTAGAGAATTGTTATTCACATATTTATATGAAGTAATGTAGACACAATGGTCAAGCCTCACTATCTTTCCTCGGTGTGCATGCTTGCTACTAAGAGGAGTTCATAAAGTAATGTACTTGCAATGTTCATTAAGTCATGCGTTAGCCTTGCAGCCGGTACGTAAAGAACACTTTTAGGTAAAACAGAAACTTGGCAATCTTTACTGTAGTTTTTACTTTTATATTGGGGCGCGTATTTTAGAGCAGATTTCCCTAACCTTTTCAAACCTGCGGTAAGGCGAAATCAGAAACATAGTTTGTGAACCGGTGCCAGCCAAAAATAAAAAGCAAAATTTAAAACAATTTTTTTTTTATCTTAAAGTTAATAAAATAAAATTTTAATGGGACATCTGACTGTTACTCCTTGAAAGCAGCGTTGTTTCTGAGGGAGGATGGACTACAGTGAAATCCATTTCAGTACTCTGCTTAATATTTAGTAAAGACAGCAAAATAAGTCTTCTCACACATAAAAGAAGTCGAAACACAACCACTATATAAAGCTTTATGTTCCCTATTAAATATTGACCAAAAAAGTAGATAAGATTGCAGTTTATCTCTAAACACCAAAGTGACATCAAAAACAACCCAATGTTGTATATAATTTGAAATTAATAATAGCATGAATTAAAATTTTTATAAAGCGTAAGTATTCCTGTGTCTTTCTCTAGTACGCAATTATGCCCAAGAGCTCGCTTCTTTTTTAATGGCAAATATTTTATTTCTTATAGTAAAAATGTAGGCACAAGACCCCGGAAAAAAAATAAGTCCGTTTAGAAGGTTAAATGTGCCCGCCCCATATACGCAAGCTTAGCCAACCATTCCTCAATTTACAAAGGCTCTACTAGGTCAGATTTTTCATTCGCAAGAATAATAAATTACTTATTTCCTCTGTTCAAACAGGCGTGAAAGAACTCTTCTTCTCAATAACCCTCACCTCTGTGCATGGAGCAGGAAAAGTTATAAGTTTTAGTCCATACTGTGGAGTGAATCATTTTAAGTTTATAGCTTAACTATGAATTTCGTTATTAATCAACACTGGGTCTTCATCACAAAACTCAGTTCAGGAAAGAGCATCCTGGTAGCTAGACTCTTCTAGTTGATCATACAGCGTGTATACAAAACTTCTTGGCGAGCAGCTTCCTTTAATTTCGCAACTACTACTAAGCGTCGACCAGTCATGCTCACAACCCCACCCGTGTACGCCCACGCATTTACCCCATTCTAAGAATAAGCTCTGTGCTTGATAATAGTTCTCAAGAGTATTAAAAATATTAGAATTGTGGCCTTCAAAATAATTGAAGGTAACATAGAAGTTCTTCACCTAAGTCTTCATCTTCACTCTACCTCAAGAGCAAAATAAAAAAGTATTGTTGCTCACATTAGTTGATTTTCAAGTTTAATTGCAAAACATAATTTTTTTTTTTCCTTTACAACTTACCTTTCATATAGATGGCAATGTCAACAATTCTCTAAACAATGTCGGAAACCGGTATAGCCTCTAGTACTTTAGTAGGGACTTCTAAGATGTAAGGCTCTACTAACTCCCAAACAAGACTAAACGGTTTTATCTTTTTAGCTATTCGAAGCAGCTAAATAAGACGCTTGTAGCAGCGACTTGTAACTAGTTGTCGTTGTTATCAATTGACTTGGTTGTATTCTCTACTAGTCACGTAATCTTTATAAAAGATTTTAGTGGTTTATCAGTAAGAACTATACTACCTCGCATGCAAGCAAAGAGCTAGTCTGGACAATTTCATAGCGTTTTATAAGATCGGTATATATTACAAATAGAGGCGTGGCAATAGTTCACTGCCAGTCACTAGTACAAAACCCAGTTTTAAAAAACCCTTGTGTAACCTAAGTTTTTAATCCTCTTTTTGGTTTGTATTACACCGAAGTATTAAGATATTTCATTTTTTTGTTTATTCTAGACTTGGGGAGAAAGTACTTGACATAAGTGCGGTATATTTTCTTAGAAGTTTTTCATGCCTCTGCTAAAATAGGTTAAAAGGCTTTGCAACTTAATCTTTTTCTTTTCACCTAGTAGTTTTAAATGTTACGGAAAAAATGTTGTTTTCCTTAAATCTGCAACGTATTAATAAAAACAATTCGCAAGAGCGCGTTACTATAAGAGCTCTTGCAAAATCCTAACATGATCATGATCCTCATCCAATATACTGGCGCATGCAGCGTACTTTGCCCCCCTCCTCTCCCATGCTCGCACCTAAATAGCACGTGTAATGGTACAGTCTGATAAAAGCATGGTGAAAGTTGAAAACAGTGTGGGGTCTCCTGAAGAGAAAAGTAAATAGTTTTAGATCGTGAGTTAATTTGTTATTTGCAAACTCTTTAATCTTATGCTGCAAGCTTAGGAAACACATATTATCGAAATAAAACTCTTTAAATGGCGCATACGGTTAATTTTCTACCGTTTATAAACACTTTTAAAAACCCTCCATGTACGTTATAGGAAAAAGACGGCTATTTTTTTAATTTTTTAAGCTGGTAGAACTATAGAATTAAATCAGTTTTTCTAGTTTTACGTTTTTTACATGCCACACGCAAGGGATAACAAAGATACCGCCTCCCACTGTAACAAAAGTTACTGCAACTATTTATTCGTATACTAACTTAAAACCCTTTCAGTAAAGTCATGCGCTCAGCAAAAAAAAAGAGATTAGAATGTAAATATTTCTTCGTAACGAGGTTTAAGCAAAAAAAATAACATATTTATAGCGCTCTTGTAAAACGTATAGAACAATTCCATATGAAGTCAAAAACTTTTGTTACTATACTTTTTTAATTTAACAGAAAACTTAGTTTCTTGTAAAATGATACAAATTCGAGCCTCTAGGCTTCTCTGCTAAAAAAACTTTAGACTACTTGAAGCAATTCGGTGAAGCTAATTGATAACTCGAAAATTAAAAATAAGCCGTTTATCAGTCTAATAAAGACTTTTGATGGAAAATGCAGATTTTTAAAGAAAATATTAAATAAAAAAGATGTTTATTTCACTTTATAAAATTTAAAATTTCATTAAGTGGGGATGCTGGCCATTCTTCAAGGTAAACGAGGACCGTAAATATCTTTCCAAGTACATAGTTTTTAGTATAAGCGGCATAATAGCAAGATCCACAGCATTTTGATCCTGCTTACTTACCAGACTAACTTTTTGTTTATTCTTCTTTTTTCCTTTAAAAAAATGTTCTATACAAATATTATCTTATAAATTACTAAATTAAAAAAAAAATAATGGCACCTTCAGACTTCTCTTTTTTAATTTTTCGAGGTGCCGCAAAATAACTATCGCAAAACTTTTCTAAATTAACAGAAGAGATGTCAACACGTGTGGAAGTCGCAATGACATAAGCGGGATTGATGCGCCGTAAAGGAATGCCGTTGAGTTGGAACGGGCCAGTCACGAGTAACAGCCCCGAAGGCAAAGTTTTAAGGAGAATGGCTCGCTTAATAAAGAATAATAAAATATAATAAAAACATAAAAAAATCACAAAAATATTAATATACTTTAGACTTATGTCGGCCGGAGAGTATTATAACAACCGTCCCGGGCTTTAAGGAAGCGCGAAATTTAGGTGGTCTCGCTTTTTTGCGATTTTTTAAGGGACGCTTAATATCTTCAGAAGGGTAAAAGCGACACTTCTTTTGTGCAGAAATGACACGTAGGCCTCCACTTTTTTCACTGCCCAGAGGCTTAAATCTCGGCTTTCTCGAGCACCTTCAACAGCGCAATTGAATATATATATATAAATTTTCAAAAGAAATAAAACCTTTTTAATCAGAGCAGTTTTAGGCTTCTGTTTTTTGTATAATGCCCGCTTCCTGTACATAGCAGAGCGCCCAAAGCGAGAAACTAAACCTAAGGGCCTATTCCTGGAAGTGTGTGGCTTACTCATTTCGGTTCACTAAAAGTTCTAAAGCAAATACTGAAGCAAGTTAAATAATTATTAAGGTATATAACCTAAAAAAGGGAATGAAGCCCTAGAACAAAAAATATAACAACGCTAAATAAGTACAAATTAGAGCTAAGTTACAAAGAACAAACCCAAGGAGTACACCAGGAAGGAGTCAAGGAGGCCATCAAAGAGGAAGCGGTAGGACAAAAAAAAATTATATATACAATTTTTTCATTCAGGTGGAAAGCCTGAGGTTCGCCCTACGAGGGGTTTTTTTTTTACCTGTTCCAAACATGTATGACTTTGCGGACCATTTTTAGTCTTTGTATTATAATGTCATGACTACATTTTCCAATTTATATTTTTTAACTCACTAAATTAAATTTAAAACTATCATATAAACATAACCGAAAAAATAGTAGGGCTTTATTATTAATTTGTAAAAATGAGTGCCTCTCTTTGGTTTACATAAAAATCTTAGATAGTAGCCTAAGCATAGCATTATATTATAATCAATTATGTACTTAACACGAAAAGTTGTTAAACAAAAGAAATAAAAAAAAGTTCCTTTTTTTATAATAAATCGTTTTAAATTTTTTTAAACTTTCTAAATTTACAAAAAGGAAGAGCAACACCCATTGGGAGACACGTGCCTCCGCATTGTGACTTGTAGCTTTTAACAAATAAATTCATCTTCGGCTTGAGCGTTTCTCAGCAATTTTTTATAATAATTTTTTATCACTTCGTCTGGATTATAAGATTTTTGTATTAACATTACCTTATTTCGTGCTCGAGTTATACAATTTTTCTGATTTTGAGTTGCTATTATAGTCCATGCCAAAGATAGTTTCTAAAAGCATAATTTGTACCGGTGAGCTTGAATCTTATGAAAAGCCTTTATACCTTTATTATTGCTTGTGCGGAGCTCTAGTATTAGCTTTAGGTATGACTCCTTTTAATAATTATTTTGATATTTAGAGTTTATTATAAAAAGTTAGATACGTTAGTGAGTAAGCTTCCTGTTAGAAAATTTGACCGAGCCGCTGTTTGTGATACCACTCTTCATTTTAATAAATTTACTTGTGATAGAAGTAATAAAATACTAAAGATTCGCAGGTATTTTTTAAACTGTTTTATAGTATGAACATTTACTATTCTACTCTCAGAAATAACGCTCACGAACATAGATATTTGCTAATTTGCAAAAATTGTCAGCTTCCTTTATTTTATAGACCAATTTTAGTAATATTTATAAAATATTAATTTTTACAAGGATTTTGAGGTTTATTTTATAATTTTAAGAAAAAGGACTCTTTAGGAAACTTAACATACATAATTTTTAACGCTGTACATCTCGATAGTGAAAAACATATAAAAAGTTTAGCTTCAGCTTTGAGCGACACAAAAGTTTTTTACGTCTTCTACCCTATTCTTTAAAGTCTACTTAATAACTTTGAAATAGACTAAAATAGATTCAGTGAATCACGGTAAGTCTGGTGTGACCACTATTAGCACTCTTGAAGAAGAAGAAGCGGAGCTGGAGGCTCAAGATGCTGGAGACAGGTTAACGTAAAACATAATTTTTACTATAGACTATTTTATAACTATTTTTTTTAACAAGTTTTACCGAGAACGCAAAGATAATTGAACAAAGACTTGGAGGCTCCAAACGTAAACCTGAAACCAGCAGAAGTGATCTTGGTTACAAGCGATCTACTTTAGGAACTTTGATGAAATGAAGTTGTTGAAGTTATTGGTGGATTATTAGTTATTATGTCTATGAGTTTTTTAATAAAGGAAACCTCAATTACTTTTTTAATCTCGAAAGCGTATGCTTTTAATATTTCTTCTTTAAATTTATAAATCAACTTTAGGTATTGATTTATTGATATTATTTTTGCTTCTCACCGGAATTCTTTTTAAAAAAATTGGAATAGATTTCATAAATATATATAAGCATCAAAAAGTGTTTTATTCTAAGAGAAAAGGCTCGCCGATGGCCAACTCTGACTCTTTCCAAAGTAGTTCGCATTGTTTCTCATCTATGATTGCTTTCCCTGGAGATATTCTTGTGAGGGGCCCTGACAAGTTTAAATCAGTAGATTTTTTTTCTTAAGCTTTGACCTGCACCGTCGTACCCCACCAGGCAAACGGAGACCAACCAGGACCATAGAAATCGCCCGACTGGATCTTCTCGCCATTGCCGCAAATGCAATGGAGAAGCCCTAACATAAAAAGCAGAAGAAAAAAATTTAATGTTAAAAATAATTGCGGCCATTGGTAAATTTAAACTACAAGGGCGGATGATGTTATTTTTTACTCAATCCCGAGAATGAAACAAGTTTGCGATTTTAAATGGAAGTTATTTTTATTGTTAGTTGTTGTTTATTTGTAACGTTAGTGTTAGAACAATTACTCGGTTACTAACATTAGATTATTATACATCTATTGTTAAAGGAAAGCCTATTCTCGACATTTAAAATGTCTCGCCCATCTCAAGTTAATGAAATTATTATAATGAAAAAATTAAAAAGCTGCCCGCCTTATAAAAAAATCTAGTAGTAAATTTTGAATAAACTTTTTTAGAAAAGCCCCACGATGCTGCTATAATCCAGTACCTATTGATCCGTCTTCTAAGGATTGCCCAAAGTACTTTACCATAAAGCTGGAAAAGTTAAAACTGTAGCCCTATATATGTTTATTATTATTATTATTATTATTATTATTATTATTATAGTTATTATATAAGGCACTACAGATTTTGCATGGTTAGATTGAAGACTAGTTGAGGCGACACCCGGATGGCAGAGTAGCGCTTTAACATTGACATTTTTAATTCTACCATTAATAAAAATTAATTTCAAACTTACGGTAATATCAACAATGAGAAAAAATACATTTAAAATTTTGGATTATAGTAATATTAGTCACATACCTTTCTTTTAACGCATACGTAAATAAAGCGTTTGCTAATTTGGACTGGTGATATCTTTCCCAGCGGCCGAGGTATTCCAGCGGAAAACTAGAAGCTGATTAGATTATACTCACCTTCTTTTTTTTAAAAAAAAAGCGCAATAATAAAGAAAAGTACAGTTTTCTTCGCAATTTTGTTTTTGTAGATATTTTGGATTTAGGGATGTTCCAAATCTTGCTACGCTGGTGTGATTAATGATTCTGCTTTCTCCTTTAATAAATCATTGTCTTTTTTCGTTTTTAATAAGAGCTGTTTATGTATATAATGAACCGGCTGATTTTGCAGTTTTAACAAGTAACGGGTATAAAAGTTTTGTTAATAAAAAGTGGGAGAGATAATTAGTTTGCATTTGAATATCAAAGCCATCTTCAGTTAAAATATTTCCTTGCGCCATGACTGCAGCATTATTGGCTAAAACATCTAACCTCGAAAAACTTAAGACTGTAAATTAGTAAAAATCAACAACAACAAAAGTATATTGGTCCCAAAATTTATGAAATATATTAGGGATAAACTAAAAGATTATGGTAGAAAAATATAACAAAGATGCATCTTTAAAAACAAAACTAATATTCACTTTTCTAAAATGTAAGCGGCCGCCTTCTTCACACTTTCGAAACTTTTTAAGTCACAGTCAATCGACTGGAAGTTTCCTTGAGGAACGGATGCTTTTAAACTTTCATATGAAGATATAGACCTTAGTAAAAATATTGAGTTAGAAGTTTGGAATTTATACATGAACTCATAATTACCTGGAAGATGGCCTGTTTAGTAAAATTACAGTTGCTCCTAATTCCGCAGCATTTTTTGCCGAAAATAATCCAAGTCCAGTGGTAGTACCAGTAATAGCTATTACTTTATCTGTTATTATTATTATAGTTTTACTCTTCAATTGTGGTGTCAGCTATATCTCACCCTCCTGGCTAGAAAGTGTCTTTTTAAATTCGGTAAACCATTTAACGGGTTTTAAGGATATGCTATCAATAGTAGAAACGCTGCTTTCCATAGCTAATCGGGCTGTTATATTTGCATGACCGCCATTTATTTTATTTATTTATTTGTATATGCACTTCCCCGGCGCTTAATCGAGTCAATTTCGAATACTTCGAGCCTTCTCTCAGAGGTAATAATTTGCATTTTTTTATTTATGATTAAGAGGGGGAGAGCACAGTACTAGTATACTAGCCAAATTATTGGCTATACAATTTCTCAGCGTGGACAGGTGAAGAGCCCTCTCCCGGCTGCGACTCCCCCCCCTCTCAACTCCTGCCTTGAATAATAGCTTATATATATATACTTGATTTATAGCCCCTACAACTTTGGCGCTTTGTTGAGTGGAAACTCAGAACCTCAATTCTAAAAAGCAAGGGCGTCGTTTTTTTTTTCATTGAAAATGTCTTTAACCGCGTATGGTGCGAAGGCTTCCTACACTAACCATGCACATCAAGTATACCGTTGGCTCTCTACAGCATATTTCCGTCGTTTCTATGCGGACGCATCTTTTCGAGCGAGATTTGTGGCTTCGCTGTCGTCATACTGCCGACAGACAGCAGTTATTCCGCAAGGCTCCCTGCTCTCACTCCTGCTCATCGCGCTGTATATGCGAAAAAGTCCCTTCTACGACTTCTCACACCCGAGATGCACTTTAGGCTACCTAAAAGAATCCCTCATTATTACGGCTGCTAACTGTTACAAGCAGTGGGCAGTAAGCATTTACGGAAGGAAGAGCAAAGTAATCCTCATTTCGAGATGCATTACACTACCCCTGTCTCTAATCCTCAGTGTTATGATCCCAAGGTACTCTTAAACCAAATACTTGGGAGTCGTAATCGACACGTATTCGTTACGATTAAGTTCAAAGCAGCAATTTCAAGCACTTTATACCCGCTGCCGTGTGCAAAAAGCGCAATGTCCCTGTGCAATTAACTACGCCCTGTACAGACCTACGCATCTGATGCTTGGGTATATAAAAAATCGTCGACAAAAATGCACTCCTTCAGACGCAGCAAAACAAGCTCCTGCGACTAATAACCGGCGCCCCTTATTTCTTGCGGAAAGACCCGTTGCACGACGACCTGGGTTCGAAACAATTTAAAATTTTTTCGTAATGCAACTACCTTTTCTTTAAAACGTGTTAGTAGGCAAGTAACATACGAATCCCGGTAAGGCGCACGCTTCGGAAAGCCCCACGATGCGCTTTAACCCCTTATTGGTTACTGGTTACTATGTTTACCACGTGTCGCCTACGTTCATTTTGTAGAGTAGGTTTATGGAAATTGACCCTAAACGACAGGCTCGGTGTCTGAAACAATCCCTGGTAAGTTTGAGTACCATGCCCTAACGAATTAGGCAGTAACCAACAAAACATTAAAAAAGTGGAAAAAATTTAGTTATCAGTGACGTTAAGTTGAGCATGCGTTGCGCTATCTTTTATGGACAAAAAAGTCCTCCTTCTGGATGTAAGAAGTTTATTTTTGGTTAAATAGGTAAGTAAGCACTTGTTTTACTGTTTTATTTTTAAATATTAATTGAAATATTTAGAATCAAATTTTGAAAACAAATATTGGACATTAAAGTATAGTTTCAACATAGGAAGTGATATCGCACGAAAAAAGAAATCTATTTTAAGCCCCAGGGTTTTGCCCGTTATAAGGTTAAGCGCACAGCTACAGGTTTGTCATACTCCATATACACATAGGTAAGAAGTTGTTATGAGCCGAAACTAAATATGTTCTGGACTAAGCCTATTATTATTGTTTGCGAAATTAAGCAGTCTCGTTGTTACCGAGCACCGCACAAATTAATAAAAAAAAAAATTATCCCTGCCCTTTCCCCTCGAGATCGCAACAGGTCCTATGGGGTCGTCAAGCGAGAGGGGCAACTTTTTTCTTTCAAGTGGCGTCATTGATTGCAGTATTGATTCATGACTTTTTCTGGAAAGAAATATATTGATATTATAGATGCAGCTTACTCATCTTATTTTCTTGTCTGTCTGCCTCTCTGAAGATTTCTTTCTTTTATCGAAAAGTATAAGACCGTGCGTTTGAAAAGTAATTTCGTAAAAAAAATTTAATTTGATCTAACTTCTTAATTTGTGTCCAAAATTAATTATGCACACCATAATTCATTAGTACTTTTGAATGCCTTATAGCTCGCTTTTTATAATAATTTTGTTTTTAATTATTTATATAGAATTTTGAAGGTATTGTTTACTTTTTACCTTCGGGACTGATTGTTTTTTCACTTATTAAAATCTGAAAAAAAAGTTTTTGATTTCAAAAAACACTCACGACTTGAGTTACATTCTTTTTTTTTTTTCTGAGCACTTATCAAAATATTATCACTTTAGTGGCCTAGGTTTAAATTATTGACTTTGTTAAAAAAAAATGTATGTATAGTATTCTACTATGCTTAAAAGTAATGGAACTAAAACACTGAACCCTATAAGGAACAAGTGGTAAATTGTGTACGAAAGATTTGCCACTTTTATTTTAATGAAATATTCAAAATGAAAATTATTTTTCATTTTGAATATAAATTTATCTTCTTTAGGATAATTTTTAATTTTTATCCGTTTGTTAATGGTATTGACTCTGAAACTTTGTAGTTAATATTATGCAGGCAGTTCACGTTCTACTCCCTACTTTTCGCGTGGGTTGCCTAGAATTCTAAAAACCTGTCAAAATTCTAAAACTGGGGTCTATTACACGTATTAAGCCTCAGAAACTCTTCTAACATATTGTTTAAAGTGTTTTTTTTTATTTTTAGCGTAATAGGTAAATTGAGTTTGTGTAGACCCTAGGAGATAAGTTGAATATTTATGATTATAAGTGATGTTTGTCATCACGCATAAATTTCTGCTTCAACACAACACTTCAAGCTCACAAGGCATTTACCACTTCCAGTCTACTATTATTGTAATTTTAAAAAAAAATTTCGTAGCTTAGTAAATATCTAAACTTAAAAGATTTATTTTACCCTTGTACTTAGTTCTACGGTTTTGCAAGAAGGCAACCAAGAATATTTTCTATTTTTAAATTTTTGTAGTTGAAAAAAAAAGGAATATAAAGTATTAAAGTAAATTTTAACAAATTATTGTAAAAAAATAAACAATCAATGACCTGCTGTTCGAGACGGTGATTATTTAAGAACACACAATTATATACTCATACAAAGTTTTTTTTTTTTAATAAAAGTTGCTTTGTCCGTATCCTTATTAGTAGCACTTCAGTGCTCTAAAAAGATTAACCGCTTAAGCTGCATTCCTCTCTAAAGAGATTCTAAAGAGCTGATAAAGAAAGAGCTACATCGTAGTTGGGCCCCCGCCTTCGGAGTAATTGTTGGGTCTTGGCCCGTAAACTAGAAAACAAGTGACATAAAATTATGATAAGAATTATAGAAAATAAGTATACATTATACATTTTTTATTTATAAATGACAGTTCTTCTTGCTCGCTCGAGTCAAAAAACTTCGAATACTCGAGCTCCCAATCAGGGATGATGGCAGACTCTTTACGATGTAACTTTTCGATCGATAAGGTGTCATTACTCTCTTGATACGCGACACGTGGGCTTCGATAAGCGTGCCCAGTCCATAACTCGTAAATATATTTTCCCGCCTGCAAGCGATTAGTGTGCCTGGTTAGCCTGTCGTAAAGGGCATTGGCATTACGCTGGAAGACGTCGTCTAAAGGGTTCAGCTGAAGGTCCCGTTGAAGAGGTTCATTTCGCACAAACCACGACGCGTTTGTCATCACGCAAAACAACTTGTTCTGTCACACTTGAAGTGCCCCAACGCTATTGCAGTGGAGTCGTAGGTGCAAGCAGCAGACGCGTATACAATTGCCGTTTGTTTTGCAAAGGAAGCTTGCTCTTGCCGCATAGTAAGGGTAAAGCGACTCAGCACCACTAGATAGCCCAAGTGCTGCTGCCAGGAAACTTTGTTAACAATGATGACTCCCAAGTATTTCACTAGAGAACAGCACGAAATCTTCAAGCCATCGAAAGTTAAGAGCGCCAACAAGGGACGCGTTCTTTGTAATTAAAAGCGCTTTGCTCTTCATAGCATTTATGAAACTTTTTAATTACGGCACCAGTCAGCAAGGGCGTCAAAATAGGTTTTAGATGCATGGATAGCAAGGCGGGGGACTTCGACGATGGATAAATGGCAACATCATTAGCGTAGAGGGCGATTCGCGTGTGTGGATTTGATAGCGAAGGCACGTCGCCCATATAAATTACTAATAAGAGACGAAAGAAGTGATCCTTGAGGGATCCCTGCTACAGAGGTTGCAGTGGCCACTGTGTATCTCCCATGCGCATGCTGAAGACGCGGTCATTTTGGTATGGATTCAGCACATTGTAAAGACCGTGAGAAATGGATAACGAGCGATGTTTATGCAGCAGACCTTCATGGCAAACTTGATTAAATGTCCTTTCAACGTCAAAGAAGACGGCGCCTGTTGTCTTTAAGTTAAACGCACGAGTGTTCCATTCAGTTAAGCGGAGGGCTCGGTCGTAGAGTGCCCTTGCCGAAATCCGACCTTTTTTAGACGGCGCAGTATGGCTTCACCTACTCTGCCAACCGCTTACAGGAGACTGATGGGTCAATACTTGCTATCTGCTGATTCCAGTTTAAATGTCTTTGGCAGCATCACAACGGTCGCCATCTTCCCTCGGATCAGAAAGGCGCTAAGTACCATCGCAAATTTTTCTAAGGGGTACAGATATCATGCATTCTTGTTAATGGCAATTTCTTCAGCATCTCATTAGTGACGCCTCGGGGCAAGGCTGTAGCACTTCGACAATCTCTTGAATCTCGGCAACATTAACTAACTCAAGTGGTTCGTGGACAACGAGAAGAAGGATGCTCAGCTGTTAGAGCGCATTACTGGAAGTTAAGTGAGCAGCTGGCACTTTTCAAGAAGCAAGGAGATTAACGAAAAATAGCTTTGTCTTCATCTCTCTCGGTCACAATATTTCCTTCACGATGGGGCGGTAGTGGTGC